AATTAGAAATAACCCTGTGTGATACTAAGTCACTGAGATTTGGGGGTTTTTAGTATGGTATAACCTTGTCTACCCTGACTAAATGAGACAAAGGAAGGTGCAGTCCTCGTTACAGAGCTACAAACTAGCCAACAGTTGTGTGCTCGGTGACCCCATTCAGGGATGAAGTGCTTTTATAATGGCAAGGTCATCTAGTGCTATGTATTAATGACAATTTTTAAATGGTAGTCATGGGAGATTATTTGACAAAAACATATTGTAGAATTACAAATTACACCATTCAGATTCGGTTTTAAGATAAACAAACCAAGGAATCAAACTAATTTTTGAACACCAAATACTATATTTAGAAAATTTTATATTCACATTAAACTAACTCACCTTGACTAACATGTCATGTAACACCAAACAAATTTAATCAGCAGGACAAAGACAAAAAAGGAACAATTAATTAGAAACCTGTTAATATTCACAGTGAAAATTGACTTAAATCATTACAAATTTAAAATAAAATTAGCTTTCATGTAATAGCTAGTTTACAGACTAGTTTACTGTTTATAATTAATAAGCTGTTTAATAACACTACTAATAAAATAATGTCAATATTTTCTGAACCCACATATACATATTCCCTACTGTCTATTAATAAAGTGGATTAAGCAGATTAAGAACTCTTACTTGTCACTGATTAAAATCAGCTTAAACTCTGAGGAAACTATTCTCACAAACGAAAGATCAGAATTCTGATTAAAAAAAAAAAAAAAGACACTAAAACAGTTAGAAAGGGAATGGATCCATTATCCTACCATGATGATATTCAGGCTTTTAAATTCAACATTCAATTTTAACTGTTATTCTTATAATTCAAGGATTTTTCACCTTTAAAATTTCAGAAAATCCCTAAATTTTTCAGAAGAGTTTCCAGAATCATTGTAATTTTGCAATGATACTAGTTAATTTTTCCACTGTCTTCATTTTCCATTTTTAAAGCTGAATAATGAAAGTACTGTAAATTATGTTTACCTTGGCACAGGTGGAAGGGCTCGTGGAGGACGCTGTGGGGGAAAAAAAGAAATTTGCTTGTAAGTAAAAGCCTAGAGCATCTTTACTTCATGTATCCCAAACACCATAAAGCTATTCTTTTTTTTTTTTTTTTTTTTTTTTTTTTTTTTTTTGAGACGGAGTATTGCTCTGTGGCCCAGGCTAGAGTGCAATGGCACGATCTTGGCTCACTGCAACCTCCATCTACTGGGTTCAAGCAATTCTCCTGCCTCAGCCTCCCAAGCAGCTGGGATTACAGGCACCCACCATCATGCCCGGCTAAGTTTTGTTTTTTTAGCAGAGATGGGTTTTGCGATGTTGGCCAGGCCGGTCTTGAACTCCTGACCTCAGGTAATCCGCCCACCTTGGCCTCCCAAAGTGGTGGGATTACAAGAGTGAACCACTATGCCCGGCGAAACCACTTCTTTCAAAAGTCTGTTGTTCAGACATGACAGAAAAATATAATGGATCGGACCAGGATCTTCAAATCTCTTGATAATCTTGTTCATTAGTGAAACCTGGGAGGTACTGATGAGAAACATGGGCAATTTAAAATTTGTTCTCCCATTCTAAATTTCACATAAAATTATTTCCTTCCTACATTCCTTTCTATCTCTAGGCCAGGCCCTTTTCTAAGCATTAGGAGTACACTAATGAACAAAACGGAGAGAACTCTGCTTTTATGGAACTTATATTCTAGTGGTTATTAGAAACAAGGTTAAATATATATAATATATACTATATATTATATGCAGCATGTGTAACATATATATGCTATATTTAAGACATATATCTTGTATACATACCTTGTGTATATATACACAAACACAAACACACAAAACGTAATGAATGAAGGAGACTGAGTGCTACTTTTGTTAGGGAAAGTTTCTCTGAGATATTTGAACTGAGACCTGAATGAGAAAGGAGCAACCGGAACAAATGCAAAGATTTTTAGGTTAAATTGGGCCTGGAATATTTCAGGTAAAAGGACAGCAAGGCTGCCGCACAATTGCCAAGGAGGTAGGCAGGAGCCAGATTTAGTTAGGGCCTTGCAGACCAAGGCAAGGAGTTTGGATTTTGTTTTAATTCAATGGGAAACCAATGGAGGTTTTAAACCACATACTAACACAAATTTTTAAAAGGCCACTTGAATATACTGGGAAGAATGCGTTTTAGGGCAGAAAGAATGGTGGGGGGAACCCTTCTAAACGCTCATTTATATTAATAAGAAAAGTGTTTGCAGTCAGAGAGCATTACAGTTGAGAAGTATTTTCAGAATCAGATACTATGAGAAATGCCTAGAAGCCAATTTAATGTTCCAAGTATCTCATGCTGCTTGCATAAGACATTTATTCAAAAGGGTTAAATTTTAGACATTTTTGTAGTTTGTCCCATTTAGCAATCCATTCGTTCGAACAGTAGATTAATGCAAGTACTACAAGATTAGGACGAGGCAAGCTCCCGTAATACCATCCAGTAGTCAAAATTACAACTGGAAAAGAATGACAATCACGGGAACGCGCTATTGTTCTACAGATGCTACGAAACGCGCGCGATCGATCCAAGGACTCAGTTCACGTAACTGATTTCAAAAGTCCCGCAAAAATGACGTTCCACCCACCCAGAGACCCAACCTCTACTCCTCAAAAGTAGGACGGCTCAACTGAAGACAAAAATCCTAACAACTAAAAGTAGCTAAGGCTCGCTTACCACAGGATTCTTCCCCATTCTGTCTTTAGCCGGCCTCGGCAGCCGCCGGCCCGCAAGCCCAGGGCGCCCCACCCCTCCCGGCTCTGTCGCGCGCGCAGGCGCAATGCGTCATCGGGCAGCGCCGCCGGGCTAGTACCCGGCGCGCAGCGCCCGGTGGGTAAGTTGGGGTGAGAGGCGCGCAGGGACCTGGATTGGCCAGTCCAGACTAGCCCTGCCAAAAAAGGGGCCTCTGAGTTGGGGTAATGTGCCCAGGAGCAGACATTCGGCGACCGTGGCGCTGCAATCGCAGCTTTCCCGTGGTTTCCTAAGTGGTCGCGGTGATTTGTTTGCGGGGAGCGAGGCGTGAGGGAAGACCCTGGTTAAAGGACTCCGCAGGCAAACAACGATCTTTTCTAGGCAGCTACTGCCCTCTCGGAGGGGGAGTCTATGAGAGGCCTGGCTGGAAGCCCCAGCACCCGCCGGGCGCTGGGCCTCAGAGAAGTGAGGCGTCGTCGTGGCAACGCTGGCTCAGGTCCCCGTAAACTTCATGCCAGGCCTCTCTCCCCTACTCCGGGAGTTCGGTCCCGGCCTCGCCTGGGTCTCCGTCCCACTCCTGTGAATGCTGGAGGGGCGGACGCGCGCACCCCATGAGCAAGGCTCTCCCTTAGTGATCCCCAGCTCGTTAGCGCCCCCCACACACACCCACCCCCACCCCGCCAAGTGTAGCTGTTTACCCGCCACCCCTCGAGGCCGACGCGCCCCTCGCCGCTCACCAGGTGGCCCTCCTCCAGCCGAGCCCCCGAGTCAGCCCTCATGGTGCTCTCCCCGCGGGGCTTCCCCGGCGCAACCGCCGGCGGCCCGAGCCCAGCTCCCCGCGACGCTGCAGCCTGCGGGACGCCGGGGCTTCGTGGCGCCTGGCGAGGCCGCCTCCCCGTGAGCCAGGTCCCCGCCCGCCTCTGCCCTGCCAAGCATTGCTGGGTTTGGGACGAATGTGTTTACTCTCTAGGACCAACGAGTCTGTGCGGGCCTGGGTGTGTGGATGTGTATTAATATAGGCAATTCTCACATTTTCTCCGATTGCTTACCCTTCATCCCACAACTGTGTAAATCAAATGTGGAAAAACTTTTTCTTGAAGAACCTTAAAATCAAATCCGACCTCACATAAATATCACTACAAACTACTTAATTTGCATAGTTTTATTTGGTTAGGTTTTTTTTTTTAAGATAACTTTAAGTAACAGAACTACAAATATTTTGAATCATGCATTCTATTTTACAGTTAAGAAAGAGATGGGAAAGATGGAAGAATGGTGTGGATATGGAGAAGAGAATGATGCAGAAGATGAACAGATACAGGGACAGGGAAAGCGCCTGGAAATCTCAAATCTGGGGGAAGAAAGAGAAACAGGACTTTGTAATGGCATCCTCATCTTGTTACCAAACAAACGGGGTTTGTTGCCCTATATGCACAGAAGCCAATATTATGATGCTGGTTTTTTGAGAAAAGTTGTTATTGCGAGTCAACTAACAAGGAGACAGGAGTATAGCTCTAATCTGTCTCCCTGTGCTGGCTTTAAGACAGTATTTTTATTAGAAAAGGTTTAGGGAATGGATTCTGGGATTAGTAAATGATTGGTGGAAGGAAAGAAGCCATCTGGAAAATCTTTTGGCGTTCGCGGTTACCTCTTCATGTCCCTTCATGGGTCGCATGTGCAAATTTTGGAGGGAGTCAGTATGAAACACGGGGGAAGACTCGAGCTGTAACGCTAGCAAGCTCATTTTGTACAGACTTCAGGTAGCCATCCGTGTTAGTCCTAACCAATTTCAGCCAGTTTGCTTTATTTTGTTTTTTAATCTCACAATGGAAGAAGTTTAGGCGTTTTAGCAAATTGTTTTTTATCTGCTGTCCTGCACGCTCAAGAATTTCTGTTAGTCCCTGGTTTCTTTAACTCTGAGACACGGTTTCAATCTTGTGATTCTTCTATATATAGGTCTCCAGGACTAATCCATTGCCTTTTCTAATTTAGGCATGCATGTAGATATTGGCTGTAAGGAAAATGCGTGTTTGTCACACCTCTGATGAGAATAATTTTTTCCTTGTAGGCTGATTTGTAAATAGTGAAGGCAGTGCAGTTTTTTGTAGGTTTTGATTTTAGATGTGAAATGTGCATATTAAACCTTTCTTGCTGAATTAAGTAAGCACTTTTGGTAAAAGATGTTTTCATAAAACACGTTTCATAGAGTAAAATACAATTTCTGAAGTTAAATATTGCTTATTATATTTAGGAAAGCTCTTTATTTAAATCTTTAAAAGATATGAAATCTGCAAAAGGTTCTCATACTCAGTGACTTAACATTATTCATATTTCTACTACAGCTGCATATGAGATAAAGGAAAAAAAATTTTTAAGAGCCAAATAGGTAACTACATAACCATACAATAAAAATTTTTTCAAATAAGATTAATTAATAAACTACTGCACTTTTAAAGTTGTACACATTATAGTGGGTCAAATACTGCTGTTTTAGATTGCAACTGTGGATCGCTGTAACAAGGGCACAGTGTTAAAACTCCAGCATTAAACAAGAAGTCTCATTAAGACTCAGTATCTGAGGAAATCCATGTTGCTGGTACCCACTGAGGTTCCTCCTGAGCCTTCTGTATGGCAGACAACAACTGGGCACATGCATCATGCAAGCTGTCATTCACAATCACATGATCAAAAAATTGGCCAAACTGAGTTTCCATTCTTTGGGCTAAATTTTCCATCTCTTGTAGGTCTTCATCCTTTAGGAGAAATAGAAAAATATGGATAGTACAGACTTAATTGGACAAATGGAAAAAATACAGTTTGTTATGCTGTCACATTCAGTCGTGAAACTACTTATAAAAACAGTAAGGTCCGCAAATTTTGCACAGATGATTTTTAATAATGTTTAAAACATATTTTCTCAAAATTCTACAAAGCTAGCTAACTAGAAAATAGTAATTTTTTTTACCCTCTGTTAATTGAAAGAATGTTGCTAAATATAGATAAAATTATTATTATTTTTAGACAGGGTCCCACTCTATCCCAGGCTGGCATGCAGTGGCATCATCTCAGCTCACTGCAGCCTCTGCCTCCCAGACTCAAGTGATCCTCCCACCTAGGCCTCCCAAGTAGCTGGGACTATAGGCACATACCATCATGCTCAGCTAAGTTTTGTAGAGAAAATGTAATTATTATAACAGGTATAAGCATATCCTTCCAAATTAATGTAAAGCATAAGCAAAGCTGGGAAAAATATATCACTATCCACAGTATGTCATCCTTTATTTCTTAGAAATGTATTACTGAGATAAAAGAAATTTTAATTTGTAATTTTTTTTAAATAATAAAAGACTGAAGTTTTTATTTTAAAAAAATGAGGTCCAATAAATGTCTTCTAAACTACAAAACTTATGTTTTAATCTTTAATCTTAATGTCTGGTCATGTTTTGCAAAATTTAGTAATAGTTTGCAGACAGATTACTCCCCTCAACTTCCCATATGAACTTATTTTACTCCTCCCTAAACACTTGAAACTCTAACCATATACAACATAAAACCAAAGAAAACGTACCAGTTTAAATAAAATTTAAACATAAATTTCAAGTGAACATTAATCTGATGGGAATAACATTATTTTAAAGATACAAAATGGCCACTTTCAACACGAGGATGGTATAAGCCAGTTGTATTACTGTTTCTACTATTGTGAAATGTTCATTTAATGAAGGTAAATTGGCCTTCACTTGGCACTAATGCATTAAATTCATTGCTGTTATTTTCTTATTAGTTCACGAAAAATAGTACCACTTGTCACCAGTTCAATCTGAAACACAAATACAAATGCAGCCACCAAAATCTTGTGGCTTTACAAAGTGACCATACATATGATCCAGAAACAATTTTGTTAATTTGTTTAGACTGCCATAAAAGTGAGAACAATTTTAAATGCCCATAAGACTCAGCAAATACATTCATGGACTCCACTGTTCACAAGGCAAACTGGAAAATCAGACCTCCAGAGTCATTGAAAAAAATATGAAAATAAAAATAATAAGAGAAAGGATAATTTAAAGATACCTGTGCTTGCTTTGGCAACACATATACTAAAACTGAAACAATGCAGATTAGCATGGCCCTTGGACAAGCATGACATACAAATATTTAGTGAATCATTCAGTTTTAGTTTCAATTTTGCCAAGTAAATAAATTCTGGAGATCTGTTTCACAACAATGTGAATATACTTAACGCTAAATACTAACACTGAACTGTACACTTAAAACAGTTAATATGGTAAGTTTTATGTATTTTTACCACACATACACACACACACACACACACACAAAATAAATGGCTGTAATATCTTAATCTAGGTGATGGTTATCTGGGTGTATACACACCTAAAAACTCATTAAACTGTACACTCTATACACCTTACTGAATGCATGTTATGACTCACAATATTTAAAGTGTATTTCATGTAAAATATATGTATGCAACTGGAAAAAAATCACTTGTTCTAGGATGAGATCACTGATTAATTTCACCTGGCTTGCCCCCTCTATTATTACCATCATCATTTTACAGATGAGATATACTCACTGAGCATTTTTAAAGTAAGCTTTTAAGTAAAAGATAATCTGTTTAAAATACAAATACCAGGTTCATATATGCCCAATTTCTGTTTGGCTTTGCAAACTATGGCTCAAGGATTTTTTTTTTTTTTTTTTTTTTTTTTAGCTAGACCCAAAAAAATAAGAAAGAAAAAAATAAGGGTAGCATCATAGCATTTATTAAACTTTATTTTTATATCTGTAAGTGATGTCCCTCCAAAAGGATAAATCATAAGGGCATTATCCATTAGAAACAAAAATTACATTCTCTAACACAGATCCTGTAGAAACAATACAGTTTTAAATTTTGCGTTTCTTGTTTGTTTGTTTTGTTTTGTTTGTAAAATAAAACCAGAGTAAACCATATTATTGAGGGCCTTTTGAGGAGGGGGTCAAAAAGGAGGAGGAGGACAATGAGATCAGAGATCCTTGGCCTGACCCAACCCAGATCTCTGCCACGCAGAAGTCACTGAAAGCAATACAGTAATTTTTGACTTGCTCTTACCTTGAACTTCATGTCCACAAAGTAGTCAGTAATAATCTTGGCATTTTTCCGAGATTGTTTCATACACCTCATATTCGATGGCTTTATAAATATGACATAGGGCTTCAGTTCATGAGTTCGAACCACTTGAATATCCTACACAGAAAATTCAAATGCACACTTATTTTTTGTTTGTTTTGAGACATAGTCTTGCTCTGTCACCCAGACTGGAGTGCTGTGGTGCAATCACGGTTCACGGTAGCCTCAACTTCCCAGGCTCAAACAATCCACCCATCTCAGCCTCCCTAGTAGCTGGGACCAGAGGCACATGCCACCATGCCAGCTATTTTGTTTTGTTTTGTTTTGTTTTTGAGACAGAATATCATTCTGTTGCCCAGGCTGGAGTGCAGTGGTGGGATCTCTGCTCACTGCAACCACCGCCTTCCCAGTTCAAGCAATTCTCGTGCCTCAGCCTCCCTAGTAGCTGGAATTACAGGCTTGTGCCACCACGCCCAGCTAATTTTTGTATTTTTAGTGGAGATGGGGTTTCGCCATGTTGGCCAGGCTGGTCTCGAATTACTAACCTCAGGTGATCTGCCTGCCTCAGCCTCCCAAAGTGCTAGGATTGCAGGCATGAGCCATCACGCCTAGCCCCAGCTAATTCTTTTTTATTTTTTATTTTTTGTAGTGATGGGGTTTCACTATGTTGCCCAGTGGGGTCTCAAACACCTGGCCTCAAGAAATCCTCCCATCTCAGCCTCCCAAAGTGCTGGGATTATAGGCATGAGCCACTGCACCTGACCTAAATGCACATTTAAAAACAGAAGTCCTAACTTTCTAGAGTCAACGTGAAGCTTCTCAAAATTTCCAAGACCAGAAATTAGCAATTATTTTTAGAGTATCATCTCATGTGCCCCCAACTGCTCAATTCTTAAAAACGAACATTTTAATAATTTGAAGATGGAGTTTTAGAATCAAAATTAAGGTCAAATCCTGACTCTTACTAGCTGTGACTAGCAATTGAAATCTTACTAGCTGAGCAACAGTCTATACATGAAAGAATCTCATTTACTGAGAGTAGGATTCTGTACATGATCTCATATGACAAAGACAGACTCTCAAGATGGATCAGCTCTGTTTCACCTTCACTTCCCTTTCCTCTTGCTATTATCTCACATTGGATACTACTGCCATCTCTTTTCCTCTGATTCTCTAGCACACAAAGTGTATTTCTAATGACAAAGAAAACATGGCCGGGCACAGTAGCTCATGCCTATAATCCCAGCACTTTGGGAGGCCAAGGCAGGTGGATCACTTGAGCCCAGGAGTTCCATTGCCAGACCAGCCTGGCAAACATGGCAAAACCCTGTCTCTACTAAAAATACAAAAATTAACCAGGCATGGTGGCTTGCACTTGTAGTCCCAGCTACTAGGCAGGCTGAGGTATGAGAATTACTTGAACCCAGAAAGCGGAGGTTGCAGTGAGCCAAGATCACGCCACTGCACTCTAGTCTGGATGACAGAGCAGGACCTTGTCTCAAAAAACAAAACAAACACAGACACACACACACACACACACGAAGAAAATACAAAGATCACAAAAATTGGGCCTATGGATTGCATGTTCTTTATCTTACCTTAACTTGTTCACCCCTGCTCCATTCTACATGTGGTCTCAGGAAGGTAGCCACAGATATGACAACATAGAAACCTCACCTCCTTGTACAAAGCAACATCTTATTCACTCCACAAGAAGTGACCTTGATGCCTTTGTGATCAAGGTTAAAGCAAGAAAGATTCTTGCTTCTCTTTGTGACCACCCACTCAGTTCTGCTTTTCTGTATGAGAAGCAAGACTTCTTTCCCAACTAAAAGCAAAATGTTTTAAATTGACACATTAAGTAAGATCTTGGATATGAGAAATGGCCTTATTCTTAAAAGACTAACAGAATAAATGTCTCAACTATAACCTACAGCATGTGCACAAAAAATGGATGATATGCATTCATTGTTTGGGGACATAAATATTCCACCATGGACCCACCTGAGGCTCTAAGTCCATGACGCAGATCTTTCTTTCATCAAGGACTGTTTGAACAGCATCCACACTAGTGCCATACAGGTGGCCTTTGTACTCACCATACTCCAGCATCCTGCAAGGGCAGGCCAAACAAAACAGAACGCTTTCTACAAAGAAAATATTATTAGTAGTAACATGAGGATAAACTGCACTAGAGTTGAATATAAATATGTGGACTTTATTAGCACAGAAAAAATGAATAGATATTCAAGAGGTGAACAAAATGAGCATATCTAGAGTTTATGTATTTCCTCAAATTCTCCAAGGTTTGCAAACTCCATTCTGCTCCCTTTCCAAAGCTAGTGAGTTGGTATGCTGATATATCAATGTACATTTCATGCTTAACTCCTCAGAAACAAAAGGAATTACCCAGGAGCTTTGGAAAATACATAAAAATAGGGAATCTATTTTGAATGTAAAACAACTAGAGGCAAGAATCTGCTTCTGAAGCTCCACTTTACCTGTGACTATAGATGAGGCTTTCAAATGTTTCCTTGGACACATAGTGATACTCACGCCCATTCATTTCATAACTCTTTTTAGTACGAGTAGTGTCTATCAAAAAAAAGGGAATGAAAGGTTTCGGTGTCTTCAAAATTCTTTGATTACCAATATACATTTGAATAAAGATATCTAATCAAAATAAATAAATGAATATATAATCAATTAGATAAAATGCTAGAACTAAAAAGAAGAAGCCTGAATTGGTGATAAGTTCTTATATCAAAATCAGTTAGTCTATAAACCTTTATTGAGTGCGTATGGTGTGAAAAAGAATGCACTAGGTATTAAGCCAACATAAGAAAGACCTAAGGTAACACCTGTTATTACTTCAAAACAAGTGCTAGTGAATTATGTGTGAACCTTTAGATGCCTAAAGGCTCCCAGGTAGCAATACCAATAATATCTTACATTTGGATAGTGTATTTCCCATCATCTCATTTCATCTTCCACACTCTTATCTTAGGTAAACTGTTAATATCTATATTTTACTCATAAGTAAAGCTCTTGGAGAAACTTGCTCACATTCATAAGACTGATGAAAAATGAAGTTGAAATTAGAACCTATGTGTTCTGACTCCTCCTAGATGAATGTTTTTTACAATAGGTGCTCAAATTTGAAATGGAGAAAGCCCATGACATTCTGCAATCTTGACCAGATGTATTAATACCCAAGTGAGTGGTGATTCGTTTTAGGGATCTCTAGGAGGGAAAGATTAGCTGTGTCTAGATTCAGTCTGATTCTTTGATATGGCCACTTTGATTACAGACTCTTCAACTTAAATAGTGACAGGTCATATAGAATATAGGAATTCATCAAATATCTAAAAGTTATTTGTTGTCTGCTCATTCATGTATTCAACTAGTGTGTACTGAGTGCCTACTATGTTCCAAGTATCATGTTAGGTTCTGAAAACACAAAGACGAGCAAGACAGTTTCTGCATCCTATATACTATAAAGCTAGTCCCTTAATCTACATTACCACCAGTTCCCTTATTTATACAGAATTTGTGTATTTGCATCTGACAAAGTTTAAGGACGAAATAGATCAACATCTGATGATATCAATACATGGAAATGATCAAGTAGGAGCTCGAAACCAGCCTTAAATTATCAAAGGAGTTACCAACCTTCAAGGAGGTCTAAAAGCAAATGTCATCTTGGGGTCATTTTTGTATTTTCCTTATTCAAGCCTCTCATCAGATCCTTAGAGTTCCTACAGTTACACCACATCTCCCACAGCTTCCTACTTAAAACAAAATTCTAGTGAAACTTTATAGCTCTCAGGTGATAGTGAATTACGTCAATCTAAACCCAAGATGACTCCTTCTCCTTTGCTTCCATTGGACTAACATTCATATGGTAGGTTAAAGTCTGTGAATTGATGCATAACTTGAGGTACCCATTTTAAGCTTAAAACTTCCATTTAAAAAGCAAAATATGAGAGTATTTTCTCATTTTGAATGATTAAAATTCTACATTGACATTCTTAAAATTCTTCTATATTCTGTGGGCATTTTATTTTTATTCAGACTATCAGAAAATGGTGATTTTGACCAGGGGCGGTGGCTCACGCCTGTAATCCCAGCACTTTGGGAGGCCAAGGCGGGTGGATCACCTGGGGTCAGGAGTACAAGACCAGCCTGGCCAACATTGTAAAACCGCATCTCTACTAAAAATACAAAAATTAGCTGGGCATGGTGACATGAGGCTGAGGCAGGAGAATTGCTTGAACCCAGGAGGTGAGGTTGCAGTGAGCTGAGATCATGGCACTCCAGCCTGGGCAACAGAGTGAGACTCCATCTCAAACAAAACAAACCAAACAAACAAACAAAAAACACACAGAAAAGGAAAACGGTGATTTCTTTGGTAGTTTTTGGTTTTGAGATTAATGCCCATTCCTGTACATGAAAGCAGTACTTCAGAAAGCACAGCCTATGGGATGCGATCATAAAGCAACTTCTTGGTCTCCCACGGCCCTTCTGTGAGGCAAGATCTTCCCCAGCCCCTGCATAAAATCCTAGCAGTTTCCTGGCTAGGCGCGGTGGCTCACGCCTGTAATTCCAGCACTCTGGGAGGCTGAGGCGGGCAGATCACTTGAGTTGCAGGAGTTCGAGAACAGACTGGCCAACATGGTGAAACCCCGTCTCTACAAAACTATAAAAATTAGCTGGGCATGGTGGCGGGTGCCTGTAATCTCAGCTACTTGGGAGGCTGAGGCAGGAGAATCGCTTGAACTCGTGGGGCAGAGGTTCCAGTGAGCTGAGATCGCGCCACTGCACTCCAGCCTGGACGACAGAGCGAGACTCCGTCTTAAAAAAAAAAAAAAAAAACAACTAGCAGTTTCCATGACTCTTTCACTCAGGTTTAATTTTAAAAGTCTATCATCATTCATGCCACAATTTCATTTTCATCAGCCAGTCTCAACTGACTAATTAAAATTCCATTCCCACATAATCATCAAAATTATAAACTTCACTTAGATTTTAGGCTGCTTCTCCACACATCTGGCTCAAATTTGCTGCACTGGGGAAGCCTACGCTCAGAGAAGCCAGACAAGAGTATGAGTCACTTCTCTTTCCTTTCATTGTATTTCTACTGCTCCTGCTTCTCCCTCCCCTCGATAAATCTCACTTCCACTGGTTTAGAACTCTCTAAGGCTAGAGTGCGGGGAGGGAGAGGAAAGCAGGAAGGAAGGTTCTGGTTTGGCAAATACTGATTCTGGCTGCTATTGGCTTTCTTTAGATTTGGCAGATGCTTAAATCTGGCTCTTTCTCTCCTAAACCATATATTGGGTTATTTTGCAAACCCCTATCACCACCACCACAAGGCCTCTCAAGCCCATTCCTATTCCAGTTCGTCATCTGTGATTCCTTCTAAAGCCAGATATATTTGGGAGTCCACTTTTGGCCTTTTTCTCCTCAGGCTTCCTCCTGGGCAGGAATCATATAACCCTGGGCTGACTTTTTTATACATTACCTGCCCAGATCTGCTCCTTGGGCAACATCACAAGTCTAGCTGTGATGGACCCTATGAGGACAGCTACTTCCCAAATTATAGCCATTGGCCACTTCCTGTAAGCTCTCCTCCTTTGGATTTTTCAGGTATAATTTGGACACCATTCTTCTGTGTCCCCCAAAGTTCAGGGGACACAAAGAAAGCTCTCTAAGTGGTCCCCCTAGGTTCCTCTGTCTTGCCTTGAGGGGAGGGGGGAGCAAGCACACCCGCACACTCTTCCCACACTCAGCGGGTCTGGAACACGCAGCACGGCTCTCTCCAATAAAAGCCTCCCTGAAACGCCCTCAGGAATCGCCCTCCCCAAGCCTTTTATACCCTCCAGATGTGTGAGGAGTTTAACTTGTTTTCACATTCCTCATTTAAAGATGTGCATCTTAGTGCTTCAGTCAAAATTTTAACTTCCTTTTACACATATTAGAAACTATGCATTATTATACATTATTATAAACATGCATTATTAACTTTCTATTTTCTTGAAATCAGGATTTCTATCTCAAGTCTTGATCTTTTCTATTTTTACAATAAAACAGCTTTTCTTAGAGTGATTTTAAGGATGAATCTCAGTATGAAACAAATAGTTTCTTCTATTTTTAGAATTGCAGCTCTCAAATGTCTTAAAGCTTAAAAAAAAAACCTCATATAACAACTCTAAATGGGTAAAAAATTCACACAACTCTACATAAAGTCTGGAAGATTGTGTTTTAGGAGTTGGTTTGGAGCTGGTAGTAGTGAAGGGGGAGTTTAGGAGAAATAGAGGAGTTATGAGTAAAAGAAAATAAGAAAACACTTTTTTTTTTTTTTTTGAGTCAGTCTCACTCTCTCGCCCAGCCTGGGGTGCAATGGCGCCATCTCGGCTCACTGCAACCTCTGCCTCCCAGGTTCAAGCGATTCTGTCTCAGCCTCCTGAGTAGCTGGGATTACAGGCATGCAGCACCACACCCAGCTAAATTTTGTATTTTAAGTAGAGATGGGGTTTCACCATGTTGGCCAGGCTGGTCTTGAACTCCTGACCTCAGAAGATCCACCCACTTCGGCCTCCCAAAGTGCTGTGATTACAGGAGTGAGCCACTCCACCCAGCCAGAAAACACCATTTCTAAAACAGTTGTGTATTGTATAATCATACTCATAAATTTATATAAAGTTGTATGTGCATATATCAATTTTTAGATAGTAAGTACTGGGTGTATGTTAGCTATTATTGCTAACTATTAGTTTGCCTGAAAGGCCATCCATGTTAAGAAATAGAAAAAAGCCCATTTAAAAGCCAGCAGCCTACATGCCAATAAACCAATTTTCCTTATTAAAATAAATATGGTTAGAAATACTTAAGAACTATCCCTGGTGTTGTATACTTTTACAACAAAGATGGAATGACATAGTTAAATGAGATGAGCAAAGAAAGTTTTACCAAAACACAAACCATTATGAAAGCAAAACTAAACATACGTGGCACAGCACTTTGAAAATGGCTGGGATTAAATTCAATAAGTTGTCTTCTGAGCTCATTTACTCCAACACCAGAGGGTCCTAAACATAAAAAGTCACACACAGAAATCATCAGATGTGGATAAATATAATTATGCGATGGAATAATCATTTTAGTCCTTCTATTGAAGAAACTTGAGAGCAAATATTTTCAGGGAAATTATGTAACTTCCTTTCTCATAAATTGGAAGAACCCCAGAAAACTTTTGGGAATTTTTCTAGTGACCCATGGAATAACCCACATTGCTTCAACATTCAGGAATGAGGTAAGGAATCGCAGGAACCTGATCCCCAGCAAACTCTATCTAATGTTGAATGCCATGAGAATTAGCTGGTCTCATTTTAGAGAATTACAGAGCTCTGCCTTTCCTTCTCAAATGAAGTTTTTATCAAGTCACAACCAGAAACCAGCCTCGACAATTATAGGTTCTGTGACTTACAGAATTCAGGGGTACATTCCTGACAGGTGATTGAGTAAGCACCCCCATGTCCAGCTGGAGGCAGGGCTGCCTTCGTGGGTATAGAACCTGTGCAGTTACACAGGGCCCATGCTTAGAAGGATACTGTGCTTGGATGAATTATCTGCTATTGTATCTTGAAATCCTTGATAATGTTTTAACCAGGGGCCCTTGCATTTGCATTTTACAATGGGGCCTGCATATGATATTGCTGGTCCCAGCCGTAAGGCACATCTTTCTGCTCTACAGGGACCTGCCTTGCTCATGGAGCTAAACACGCAGACAGGAAGGCAGTAGGATACAAGTTGCTACTGCTACAGGGACCAGCTTTGCAAAAGTCATGGGCACAAAAGCAGGTCACTCCTGCGCTATATTTGCCATGATCTTTATAAAGCACCAAAGATACAGTCCAGAAGATGTTACTTTTCTAAATGAGGTAATTACAAATTTCTTAGGAGAATGGACTTGAAGAATTTAACACATTTCTCAGGGAAATGGACGTTAAGAATTTATTTTCATGATACAGGTTAATGATCTGCCTGGGGAAACACTCATCTATGTTTACAGAACAATTCTAAGCAGGCAAAAAAAAAAAATCTCAGTCATAATGACATCATAATACTTGTTATATAACAAGTAACTATATAGTTCATGGACACCATGGCATACCACATTCACTTGTAGATTTTTTAAAAAGCTTGATACAATAAAATGTTACTTATAAACCCACAGTACAATGGTTTTATTTTGTTTTTTAGAAAAGGTATTTGTATGGGGGGTCTATAAAGAGTTCTACTTTTACCATCATTCCCAATATGAGACACCTGAATCTAGAAGGAAAACTCCTCAAGGAGGAGGAGAGAGAGTGCATGCTGGGACATACCCATGAGCACTATGAGGCGGTACTTGTCTGAAGGGCGTCGCTGGTACCTCACCACCTCCTCGTAAGGGGCACCCACTGCACTGTAGCAGCTGCCGGTGCAGCACACACTGGCATGCAGCGGGCTGAGGTGAGACTTCCTGCGACACAGGCGCATGCTGCGGCGAAAGCCAGCTAGGGAGGGGAAGTGCACAGAACATAAGAACCAGACAGGAGAGATCACTTGTAGCCTCACGCCTGATGAAATATGTAGCAACCATGATCCTAAAGTGTTCGTTAATATAGTCACGTCTGTCTGAAGTTAGAAGACAGGAAGTCATATGAGGGGAACATATGAAAATGCCCCCTGGGCTAGCCCATCTCGCACCTGCTCTGGGCCAGGCATTGTCCTGGGTTCTGGGGAGAGAGGGCTCAACTAATCCAAGGCCACTTTCTCATGAAATCTGCATTTTGTAGAAGAGGAGAGACAAAAATTAGAGGGAAAAAAATAAGTACTTAGAAGAAGACGAGGTAGATAGAGACTGATGGGGGTGCTTTTTTAGATAGGCAGTAAGGTTAGAGTATCTCTGAAAGGTTGGCATTGAGCAGACATCTGGAGGAAGGCAGGGAGCCAGATCAGGAAGCCTCTGAGGAGACAGGCAAGCCAGATCAAGGGAACTGCAAGTGCAGTGGTGCAGAGAAACGAACTGTGCTTGGAGCATTTGAGGAACAGCAAGGAAACCTGTGTAGCTGCAGGGCAGTAAGCAACAGGGAGTATGAAACAGGGTAGGGGGAAGTGGCTGGAGCCAGATCACATAGGGCCTCTGAAAAGTGTTGGATTGTTGTGGAAGTGTGACGGGAAGCTGTTGGCGGTGGCATGATTGGATTCATGTTTCTGAAAGACTCCTCTGGTTGGTGTAAACGTAGAGAGAGCAAGTGTGGCCTCAGGGGAGAGCAGTTAGGAAGCTACTGCAGTGGTCTGAATGAGGGATGAGGGTGGCTTGGGCCAGGGCAGAAACAGTGGAGCAGGCTCATTTTTCACATTTTTCAGGTGGTTTCACTAAGACACAGACAGATTAGGTGGTTGCTTAGGACTGTGTGGTCAGTGCTAAGTTGGACACATGGATCATGATTTCTAAGCTCCTAGATTCCTGCTTCATCTGCCTTGTGAATCATGGGACTTTCTGGTATCTTCAGAGCTGTTTGCAGGTCTTCTCAGTAGACAGTTAGCAACTCTATGTGTACATATAAATACACATGCACACTTCAATCTATATTTGTATGTCTATATATTGAAAACCATGAGTTCACACCAGTACCTACAATGTCAATCCAACACTAGAGGATTCATTCTAGACTTCCCCTTTCCATGTTTATAACTCCCTTCTCTAACAGTGAGAACCCTGGTCCTTGTTGTCCTCAATACATTTGCTTATCATATCAATCAAGAGCACTTAAGTGTGCAAGATAGGGGACAGACAATGTCAATCGCCTCGCAGAAAGTGTCAGAGCCCAAGCTGGATGAGGCGGGCATCTTTGTAAAGCCTGTTGGGCATCAGAGGCCAAGTGATGGCAGCGGACCTCTTGATTTTACTCTGGCTCTGACAACCTGCACCAGGCTACCATTGTCCCCTGCACAGATGCCTTCTTTACCCTGCACATGCTCCTTACTCTCCACCTTTGTGTAGCTGCGTACTCTGCTCAGCTCTACCTGACAGCTTTTAGGCTGAATGATTCTGAAAGCAATACAGAAAGATGGCCCCTTGTTTTCGTTTTTTGTTTTTTGTTTTGTTTTGTTTTTTGACATTCCCCTGATGATTCCAAAATGCATCCAGCTTGGGAACCAACCTTCTAGTTTAGAGACCCTCCAGCTCTGCTAGTCTTCCCCTGCCTCCCTATAGAAGGAAGCCCAGAGCGGTTCTAGATGAGTGGTACCTGGTCCTACAAAAAGCTCTGCCCAGGTGACAGACTATAGAAATGTGGCCATAAGAAGTAAGTTTAAAAGTCAGAGACTTTGTCTCTTTAGTGTAAGATAAATAGGTTATGAAACAGTCTGAAAGAAAACAAAAAGATTTGTTTGGTGAGTAATTAACAGATACCCAGTGGAAATTAGATGAATAACAATGAATAATTAACAGATCAGAATATTGACAAGAATAAAGGACAGAAAGAAAAGGAAACTAGAACGAGGAACAGGTTTGGAAATGTCCATCAGCAAAAGAAGCTTTCAAAACAGTGTCAGGCTTGGAAACGTAATTTAACAAGTGACAGAGACCCACCTCGTATTATCACCTACCTATAAAGAACTTCTGACCATAGCCAACAAATTCCTCCTTGTCTACAGAGAACAGCAGGAGCAGAATATGTGAGAGTAAGAAGTTTATTTAGAACAAATTCACGAAATTATCTTCAACTTTTCAAGTGACTACCTTAGTAGATGGCAGCAGAGTTGAATTTATCCTTGAGTGGCTCATTGAATGTTCTAAGCATTTTTCATCCTGTTATTCACACACAACAAACTACAGAGATGCAGTTCACAGAATTTGAGCATTATACCGAATGTATTCTGTCTAGTATGGTTAAAGCCAAAACCAGCTTATTAATTTTTTAAGATAAGTTTCGTTAGGATATGTTTAAAAATACATATCCAGTTTTTATGTTTTTACTGTGATTCAGTATCTTATAACTTTAAACAAGCTTAAAGTGGCTCTTTGATTTATTTATTTATTTATTTATTTATTTATTTATTTATTTTCCACTCTTGTTGCTCAGTCTGGAGTACAATGGTGCTCTCTCAGCTCACTGCAACCTCCATCTCCCAGGTTCAAGCAATTCTCCTGCCTCAGCCTCCTGAGAAGCTGGGATTACAGGCATGCACCACCATGCCTGGCTAATTTTTGTATTTTTAGATGTATTTTGTATTTTTAGATGTATTTTTAGATAAGAGATGGCGTTTCACCATGTTGGTCAGGCTAGTCTCAAACTTCTGATCTCAGGTGATGCACCTACCTTGGCCTCCCGAAGTGCTGGGATTACAGGCGTGAGCCTTGTTCTTGACCATATTGTTTATAACATTATTTTTTTCTGCAGCTCCTAAAATTAATCTCTTTGCTAGATACGGGTTTTTATTTTCTCCCTCTTAAAAGGGTTCATTCTATATAAAATAAGATTTGCTCTATGGCTGCCAAATGTTTCTGATTGGCCAGGACTCTGAGAGACAAAATGAGGAAAACTGTGTCCAGTGCCTCTGAGGCATCTAGAGATAGTTCAAACTCCTGTTTCTCCTTCCATTGAGACCTCAGAAAAACACTCCAGAAAAAAAGTTATAAGAATATTATTTTCAAATTACTTTTTACTTAAGTTCCTTCTCATTTTTACAGCTCTGCTCTAATCATTTAAGTAATATATGACCAAATGCGGTGGCTCACGCCTGTAATCCCAGCACTCGGAGGCCGAGGCGGGCAGATCACTTGAGGTCAGGAGTTCGAGACCAGCCCACCCAACATGGTGAAACCCCGCCTTTACTAAAAATACAAAAAGTTAGCCAGGCGTGGTGGCTTGTGCCTGTAGTCCCAGCTACTTTGGAGGCTGAGGCAGGAGAATCACTTGAACTTGGGAGTTGGAGGTTGCAGCAGGCTGAGATCACACCACTGCACTCCAGCCTGGGCAACAGAGAGAGACTTTGTCTCAAATATAAACATATATATAAAATATAAAGAGCATTTGTTAAGACAATGAACTGACATATGCAACCTTTTTTCTTAACCTTTATTTTTTTAAAAGTGTTTTAAAATACAAAGAAAGAAAACACACCAATATCAATTCCATCTTCTGGTAAGTATGTACATTTTCTCACTTAGCTATGTCAATAAGTTTAAAAAGAAATGTTTTCTTGGGGATATATTCATAAAGCTTAATTATTTTTATTGTTCTTTTAAATGTTATCTATGAAACTGAATATTTAATCATTGATTTCACCCACAAAATGTCATATCCTTGGAGAACCTCATAAACTTAGTTTGGAAGTGTGTTTCCTGGGGAAAAAATGTAAATATGAGGGAGAAACCATAAACAACAACAAAACAAATACCGTATCTTCATCTTAAACATTATCTGGGCAAGTATTCATTTTGAGGCACTGAAAGATCTTAAACATAGTTCTATTTGGTGTATCTAGGAAATAAAAACAATTACCTTCTGAAAGTTCCTCTGGAGATTTGGGTAGGTGCAGAAACAGACATGAAAAGTTAAGCCTTTAAGAAGATCGTGTTAGTCATCAAATCCAGACAAATGACATAAGCAAGACATTCAGGTCACCACTAGCAAATGGTAAGTCGGGTAAGGCCTGGCAAGGCAAATGATGACCACGTGATTGGGCCTGAGAAACTGGTTTGCCCTGACTGCACTGCTTGGGACAGTACCTTTTTCTGAAAGTTGCCTATCAAGACTTTCCCTGAAGGCTTTTTAACCCAGGAAGACTCTACTTGGTTGGCACAAAATGGAGCTTGAAAGGGAGAACTTAAAGGAAAGTAACAGGTTTGAGCCTTCTCTCTCCTCTCTCCCCGAGGCAGTACTGCAGCAGCTCTGTAAAGGGGAGGAAGTGGTAGAAATGGCACTGGCGCTGGGGCTGGTGCTGCAGCAGCCTCTGGCCCGAGCAAGCGTCCTCATTCCTTCCCCTTCCTGGGTCTCACACACTTCCATCCCCAGCTGCCCTTTGAAGACAGAGGAAACTGAATATGAAACAAACTGTTTTGTTTTCTAGACATCACAAAATAGCCATATTCTGTTTTTTGGTTTGTTTGTTTTGAGATGGAGTCTCCTCTGTCACCCAGGCTGGAGTGCAAATGGCGCTATCTCGGCTCACTGCAACCTCCCTCTCCCGGGTTCAAGTGATTCTCTCACTTCAACCTCCTGAGTAGCTGGAATTATAGGCATGAGCCACCACGCCTGGCTAATTTTTGTATTTTTAGTAGAGACGAGGTTTCACCATGTTGGCCAGGTTGGTCTTGAACTCCTGACCTCAAGTGATCCACCCGCCTAGGCCTCCCAAAGTGCTGAGATTAGAGGCATGAGCCACCATGTCCAGCCTTTTTTTTTTTTTTTTTTTTGGCACTTCTGATTAAATAAACTACACCATAACCTCGTCACCTCCTGGGGAAATTCAAGGAAGTCATACTATACTTTATTCAGACTACAGACCGAAACTGAAGACTTAACTGCTCACGAAGCAGTCTAAGTAACAAAATTAAGCATCATGGAATGAATGCCAACGGTTCTATGCTTAGAAAATATGCCAGCTGGGTGCTAACTGTTCGTTAATTGAGCTCCTAAGAAAGCTGGGTTCAGAACGAATCAATGCTCGAGAGTTCTCTCTTTTCCAGCTGAGAGGAGTCCACAAGGGGCGCTCTAGAGTAGGCAACTCCCTCTGCAGTGCTGTTCATCAGGAACTGGCTGCTGACTCCCGCAAGGAACAAGATTTCACAATAATAACACCTGCTAACACTTGTGCAGCACTTCCTGTGTGCCAGGCACTGTTCTAAGCACTTTATTCATATAAATTATTGTTCCCATTTTAGAGGTGAGGAACCTGAAGGGCAGAGAGGTTAACAGCCAGAGAACCTGCAGTTAGTGAGTAATGAACCCAGGGTTCAAACTGGCCGATCTGGCTGGAGTCTGTGGTCTCACCCATTGGCTCTCCTTCCACAGACCCACAAACACTCCCCGGCCTCAACCACAGCCTTCGCATGTGGAGTGTTCTCCAGTGGAATAGAACAAAGAAGGATGAGAATAAGCTAGAGAAATTAAAAACTAAGCCAATCCCAAACACTGGGCAAGGATAAATAATCAATTAAATTATTTCTAACAGGCCAACCATCTAATGGAAAATAGGACATTTTGAAACAACATAAATGTAAATAATTTAGAAAAGTGGTTCACAACTCATCTGTCTCAATGCTTTTTTTTAATAACTAATATTCGTAGCAATCTCTCTACTTTTATGAAAGGAAACTCATAGATGGCATAATCTACCACACATGTAATTAAAAAAATCAATACAATGCTCCAGCTGTAACATAAAAAAAATTTTAAAGGAAGTAATTTATATTTTTAAAAATATATATGTATTTTAAAAGTATATACATACGAGGCAGGCGGATCACTTGAGGCCAGGAGTTCAAGACTAGCCCGAGCAACATGGAAACCCGTCTCTACTAAAAATACAAAAATTAGCTGGGTGTGATGGTACACACCTGTAATCCCAGCTACTCAGGAGGCTGAGGCATGAGAATCACTTGAGCCTGGCGGGTGGTGATTGCAGTGAGCCCAGATCACACCACTGGACTCCAGCCTGGGTGACAGAGTGAGACTCTGTCTCAAAAAAATTTTTTTAAAGTATACATATCAAAATATAAATCCTTGGGCATAACATCTTTGGAAGACCTAAGAAACTACTAGATGCTTATATTAATATTTACTTATAACAAAGAAGCATGGATTCAAGAGAATTTAAGAAATCAGAAAATATTCCTTATATGAAGTACAGAAAAATAGAAAAGAAACAGGTGGACACCAGAATGAAAAGTGTTTTGGTAAGTAATAAAAGGCTAGATTTATTTGTATGTGATAAGAGAAAGAAGGAAATTGCCTTAATTGAGGTAAAGATAATATGCCAAAGCAATTAGAGACCAATGAAATGGAGAAAATGAGGAAAAATAATATGCCTGGAATTGGGTGGGTCATGTTAACATGCCCTAGCAGGTTTGCAGTTTAAAGATAAAATTCTGTGGGGCCTATTTTGTTTTTAATGATTTCAACATTATTTTGAGGGACAGACACTTGATACTTACCGTATGTCATCAATAATAACAAATAATGTATTAAAGAAAATTAATTCAGTATAGATATACTTTCCAGTTTATTTACTAGCAATATCGAGTAGACAGGATACGTGGAATAAATCATTCAATAATTGCAAGGCAATGTCTGCATTCTGTTTGAATGTCTCTCTCCATAATGACTGTCTTCTAAATCACTGTGTTTCTCATGCTAAATCTTATGAAAACTTTGTGTGTGTTGAAAAATGAACCTTTTATATTTGTAACAAGTTTTGTCCAGCAGGACATTCAGAAGATATGTGGGTCAAGAGACACCAGTTAAAGGCCAGGAGTATCCCTCAATCAATGTGACAATAAAAAAATGCTCCCAAAGAGTTCCAAAATGCTGCATCAGGGACAGTACTAGCCCTGTGAGAAGTACTGGTTAAGGTAAAATCTACATTTCACAACAGCACTGTTGCTGTATTTTTTAAAATACATTTTACTGGGACCAGGTGTGGTGGCTCACTTTGGGAGGTCAAGGTGGGAAAACCACTCGTGGCCTGGAGTTGGAGACAAGCCTGGGCAACACAGTGAGACCTATATCTACAAAAAAATTGAAAAATTAGCCATGCATGGTGGCATGGGACTATAGTCCCAGCTACTTGGGAGGCTAAAGTGGGAGGGTCACCTGAGCCAAGGAAGTGAAGGCTGCAGCGAGCTATGATCATACCACTTGCACCTCAGCTTGGGCAACAGACTGAGACCCTGTCTCAAAACAAATAAATAAATTAGCCAGGTGTGATGGCATATGCCTGTAGTTCCAGCTATTTGGAAGGCTGAGGTGGGAGGATCGCTTGACCTCAGGAATTCGAGGCTGCAGTGAGCCATGATCACACCGCTGCACTCCAACCTGAGTGACAGATTTTTTCTCAAAAATATTAAAAATTAAAATTAAAAATAAATTTTAAAATGTATATTTGAGATTGACAACATGATGTGGGATACATATAGTTACTTTTTAATTTTTTTTACTGTTGATATATTTAAACAATTATTATAACCCTAAATATGTGTATAAATTGCATCAAAATTTGGAATATACATTTAAAAATCAGTACCAAATACTCATTTTTTTTACTCACCAGATTCAAATGTTTCTTCATCTATGATTTTCCATGGAAGCAAAAATAAAAAATGTTATTACATGACCATCTACACTGAGTCTATATTTTAAGTCTAATTCTCTGGCCCCCTACTTCTGCCCATACACCACCTTTTAAGTTTTTTTCCTAAATCAAGGTCAAATTGATGGTGTCTCTATGGCATATATCAACTTTAAATGAAAGACATGGTATTCGGCAGCTGAGCCATGATGACAGTCAGGGGTGCAGCAGGAGCTCAAAATAGATAAAATAATAGAGGATAAATAAAATAAAATGTGAAAAGCTCAGAGGGAAGGGGAAAGTGGAATGTCAGGGAAACCCGTAGAGATAGTTAGCTACTGCTCAGCTTTGCTGCAGACGGCTTGCTGATGTAGGAGGGGTGCACCCTGCCTGAAGAGTTGGAGACCCACAAATGGGGGTGATGGTGAGGAGAGTGAGCATATGAACGACTTGATTACGTTGGCTTGATCGGGTGGCTGAGAAGGATGTGAGATAAACCAACTTCCTCATTAGTTAAAACAACTCTTGTTAGCATTTTAAAGAAAGATTAAGGATTAAGAAACATACATGGAGGGCAATTTGAAATATATGGCAACATTGCCAATGGATGCATCCTTGGATCAGGCAATGCTGCATCTAAGGTATTCTCATGCATGTAAAATGATATATTTATAGGGCAATTCATTATAGCACTGTTTATAATAGAAACAAATGGACATAACACAAATGCCTACAAATAAGTGATTGTATCAGTATGCAATAACCAATAAGCTGTTAAAAAAAATAAAGACAAGGCTCTTCATGTGCTAAGATAGAGTCACCTCCAAGATTTAGAATGTTAAGTTAGAAAAGCCAGGAACGGAACACTGTGCACTTCATGCTATCAAAGGGTATGTGCATGTAGATTTAGAAAAAAAGATGGGGGTGATGAAGTGGGGAGGAGAAATATACACATCATTGCTTTTTTTTTTTTTTTTTGGGATGGGGTTTTCCCCTTTCCCCACCCAGGCTGCAGTGCAGTGGCACGATCTCTGCTCACTACAAGCTCCGCCTCCTGGGTTCACACCATTCTCCTGCCTCAGCCTCCCGAGTAGCTGGGACTACAGGTGCCCGCCACCATGCCCAACTAATTTTTTTTGTATATTTTTTAGTAGAGACAGGGTTTCACCGTGTTAGCCAGGATGGTCTCGATCTCCTGACCTCATGATCCACCCACCTCGGCCTCCCAAAGTGCTGGAATTACAGGCATGAGCCACCATGCCCGACCACATCATTGCTTTTTTGTGCACAGAATATGTGTGGGGTGATACTGAAGAAACTATTAACATTTATTGCCCCAAGAAAGAAAAATGAGTAGGAGAACATGGAAAGGGAGGAACTTCTTACTGAATATACCTTTGTAGTTATTAAATTTTGAACTATGTGAATTATTACCTAATAAAAATATAATGAAAATTGTAGAAAGGAAATGAATATTACTGCAAGTTTTAAAAAAAAGTATACTTGGTAAAATAAACATAATGTCAGCAGTATTCTGCAGTTGTTCTGGAAAATATATGTGAATCATTGAAATGCCCACTGTTTCAAAATTTTATATTGTTCTTTCACTTCTAAGAACTAGACTAGCCTATAAAGCAAAGACAGATTCACCTGTCAGACTAAGGTTCTCCAACTGGTCTCCTAACAAAATCCTAGTGATTCTTAAGCCGGTCTTATTTCTGCCACTAAATTTGAAAAATCTTTTCCCAATTTACAAAAAAATTAAAGAATAGAAATGTAAAAAACTTTCATGCATGGCTTCTCATTTTGGAACCTACTACTATTTATCTATACTAGAATCCACCAGAAGATGGCATCAAACTTAATAATAAAATATATATTGCTCTTTAAAAATTTGATACTGCAATATTTTATGTTATTTCACAAAGAGCAGAGGTTTCCAAGTGTTCTACCATCTGATATGCTGAGTGTTACTGAGTGTTCCTGAGATCTACAAAGCGCTGCTTTCTAGAACATTTTCTAGTAGATCAGTGGGAACCTGGAGACATTACCACAGCTTCTCCTTCCAACGGCCAGAACTACAGAAGAAAGATGGGGGTGGAGGGTCATTTTACGCATTTCTCCCAGAGGAAAGGCCCATGGCCCCTTTGGACACCTCTGCTTCAGATAATCTATAATTGACATGCTTCATATTTCTTCTAACAGCAAAGCAATCAAGAGAAAATGTTACCTGCTTCCACACATTTCTCATCAATCTTCATGTCATCTTCTATAAAAGAGTACAGAAAGGGAGAAACAGAATTTAAAATGTGTCTGCATTAAAAACAAAATTCCATGGCCAGGCATGGTGGCTCACACCTGTAATCCCAGCACTTTGGGAGGCCAAGGCGGGTGGATCACCTGAGGTCAGGAGTTCGAGACCAGCCTGACCAACATGGTGAAACCCTGTCTCTACTAAAAATATAAAAATTAGTCGGGTGTGGTAGCGCACACCTATAATCCCAGCTACTTGGGAGGCTGAGGCAGGAGAATCGTTTGAACCCAGGAGGCGGAGGTTGCAGTGAGTCGAGATAACGCCATTGCACTCCAGCCTGGGCAAAAAGAGCAAAACTCTGTCTAAAAAATAAATAAATAAATAAAAATTAAAAATTCCCTACGTATGTCAATAAAACTCATAAAATAAAAATAAAAAACTATGTATGTCAATAAAACTCCATCCACCTTATGATAAATTTACTTTTAGAGCTATTGCTTACTTGGAGAGATAAAAAGGGCTCTCCTGTATTAAATGAAAATGTATGATGTGGGAGGCTATATAATATAAAAATGGTGAAAAATTAAAAACCATAGGCTTTTGAATGCTGCACAAATTAGTTGATCTCTAAGCCACTGTTCTCCATCTGCAAATGGGGAGAGTAATAGTACCTACCATATAGGCTAGGATTGAGAAAATGCATGAAAAGCTCAGGCATATGCTAAGTACTCAATAAATGTGAATTCTCTTTACCTTTAGCTGAAGTATATATAAAAGAATAAAGGAATATAACTTTAAAAACTACTTATCCTAATTCTCAAAACTCTACAGCACGATCTAAACCCAGCTTGGAAGGTTGTCGTCTGCTTCTTTCCTTCACGCATCTTACGCTACCATTAGAGTGGACATCATGGCCTTTGCTACCCTGTTCCCTGTGCCTGTCATGCTTCTAGGTCCATCTCAAGCACTGATCAGAATGAATACCCCCTTGCAGAGCATTTTCTTCCTACTACCTTGAACTGTCGGCTACTGCACATCTATTGTACATCTATAACCATTCGGGGGTTTGCCTTCTTTGTTCTCCTAGACAGCTTCTTGAAGACAGGGACTGTCTCACTAGTTTTTACAGACTCTTACTACAGTATTTTGCACATAGTGGGCAAATGATAAATTATTTCTTAAATTGAGTTTTCTTTTAAATATCAAAATAGTTTATTTGAATATAGGTTCTGAATTTTTTTTTTCTTTCAGCACTTTACATCTTGTTTCTAGCAAGTGCCCATCACATCCCAGGTGCTCAACAAATACTGATTTAATAAATGAGGCTAATACAGGTTCCAAAAGTACATAGTCTGTAAAAGTGTAGTCCAAAGTACAGTCTGTAGAATAAGCTACAATATAAAGTAACGCTTATCACCACCCCTTAAAAACTACATCATTCATTAATGTTTTTAAATGAAATATGAAAAATTTTATGAAATAACACTGTCTTGTACAGTTAGGGACACAGATAAACAAGTGACATGGTTTAGATTTCCCGCACTGTCATTTGTTTACTTGTATTCATTTAGAGATTATTTTCCTAATTAATTAGATTAATTTAATTTCCTAATTAAATAATTAGATTGTTATTAGCCATCCATAACAACTAGCCATCCATAACAACAGTGAGTTCATTAGTTCCCAGGACATAATAAAGTTGTTTTTCTTTAGGGCAAACAAAGACTACAATTTTCACTTTTATTTTACAGAGGAAGGTACAAAAACCAGGCATGATTATCTAGTAACAGCACAAGAAGCTCTGACTTTTCTGACACTTGACTCTGATAAGTGTCAAGTGGCCCTAAGATAGGGCCACTGATTTTTGTTCTCCTCAAATCAATAATTCCACATTATCAGCTAGGATAATGTACTGAATTGTGTTCCCCCCAATATTCATATGTTGAAGCCCTTGCCTTCAGTATGGCTGTATTTAGAGATAGGGCCTTTAAGGAGGTAATTAAGGTTAAATGAGGTAATATGTCTAGGGTCTTAAATTGATAGAACTGGTGGCCTTATAAGAAGAAGAAAACATACCAGATCAATCGACCTCCCTGTCTCTCTCTTCTTTTTTTTTTCTCTCTCTCTCTCCCCGTGCCCCCCACCACCATCCCTCTTCTCTCTCTCTCCCTCTCCTTTCTCTCTCTCTCTCTCCCTCTCCTTCTCTCTCCTCATCCTCTTCCTTCCTCCCTTCCTCCCTCTCCGTCTAAGGATGCCACAGAGGCAAACACCAAATGAGCCACACAGCCAAGAAGGCTGGGCTTCTGTAAGCCAGGAAGAAGAGCGCCTCACCAGAAACCAACCCTGCTGGAATCTTAATCTTAGACCTTCCAGCCTCTGAAAAGCTGTAAGAAAAATAAATATCTGTTGTTTAAGCCACTTAGGTCTGTGGTATCAGTGTTATGGACCCGCTCAAAGCTAAGACCATGGCCCTTATCACCCAGCAATCCCATAGAGTCCCAGCCCCTCTCCCACCAAGGGGCTATTTCCAGGCTCCCCTCTACATACTCTTAACATGCAGTCTAAACCGTGACCCCTAGTAGACCCAAACAGACAGCACACCCTGGACTTGCCCTCTCTCCCTCCCTTCTGCTCTCACCTCCTGTGTCATACAGCCTGTTTTTGTTACGACACAGATTGGAAGCCTTGTTCCCATAGATCCACCTTCAAATCATATCTGCATCTCTGGTTTCCCTTCCAATCCCAACCGCGCGCGCAGCTCCCAAGCTGTGGATGGTGGATTAAGGGACACCTCCTCCTTTCCCCTCTCTGGAAGTAAACAGCATCTTGCTTTGGAGTGGTGGTGTTGTGTGTGTGTGTGTGTGTATGTGAGAGAGAGAGAGAGCACCATAAAAATGAGTCATCCAGATGGTTGGGCATGGAGAAGGGGAAAGACTAGTAACTGAAGGTCCCATTTGTTCCCTAATGCAGGGCCTTTTAGACAGACGGAATCTTGAATCCAGATTACACTGTTTGCAACTACTGACAACTGATCTTACCTTCTCTGGATGTCAATCTTTTCATCCATAAGATGGGAATAATAATAATAATTTCACTATGGTGTTATTGTTAGGTTAGGTAACGTGTATAAAGCAGTTGAAACAAAACATCTCATCAGTGTCACAGCTTTTATTGAGTTCTTGCCATATGCTATGCTAAACTTTGGAGCTGCATATAAATGTTACTTCTCTTTTCTTTATTCCTCTCAGTGTTAGGACAATTATACTTTGCATGCATATCTTTGAATGACATATGTTTATAAATTAAGATATTAATGACTATCACACTACTAGGTATATAGGAAGCGCTTAATAAATAGCTGAATGGAATTAAAGTGAATTTTTTAAGCTACAAGAAATTTCTAAAAGATGTTGGAAATAAGAGTTTTTTCCTAAATACTATTTCTTACCTTCTTCCATAGAAATTGCTGGGTACAAGCAAATGATTGAAGCAGGGGGGAAAAAAAGAACACAATATCTGTACTATAGTTTCTCAGATTAATTTACAATAAGAAATGTAATGTGCAAAAATTATTGTAATTAGTATTCTGGGTTTATTCTCTAGACATTCAGGGAAGATTTAGTAACAAAACGATAAATGAATACCTTATAAAACCAATATATTTGTGAGCCTTGTTGGAAATGGGAATCTACTTGCTTCTGGTAAATCCCACCCTCTTCCATCCCAGCTAGTTCTACAAGGGTAGTATTCTATGAATTTCTAAATTAACATGCTTAGTTCAGCATATTTTAGGAACCCAAATTTTCAGTGGAAGGAAGGAAAGAAGACAGAGAGATGGAGGGAGGAAGGGAGGGAGGGAAAGAAAGAGGGAAGAAAATTATAAGTGCAGCTTCAGTCAATAACTTTTTAATAATCATCTGCAAACTAACATCAATAACACTTCATTAATAAAATTGCCTATATCTTAGGACTCAGTAGCCTGCCCCTAATATTTTTTGCGGGGGAGGAGGGTATGATAAGACTTAAGCAGAGCAGAAATGTAGAAAGTAATATTAATTGTAGGATCATCTATAATAGTTGAAAATAAATGATCTTTTTAGTAGTTCAAAAAATAATCATGTCTATCGGAAACATTCCCTGAGAGAGGGGACCCTTTAAGTCAGTGGCTGCAAACCTGAGGCTCGTGGACCTAGAGATTCGTGAGGATAATAATAGAGTATTGCAAACTATTTTCAGCATGGACTTCTAGAAAGTCTAATACAAATCACACAGGGCACACAACCAAATTAAATGGCAACTAGAGGTTATACTACAGGTAATTATCAGATGCTGATTAGAAACTAATTAGCATTTTCATGTGCCTTTGATAAATGAAAGTTTGATTTAAAAAAAAACTTTTTCAAAACATGGAAGGAGTAACTAAAATATCACTATGAAGATTGTGTCATGAAAAATGTTTCTGATAAGATGTTAAGTGAAGTGGCTGGCAAGATGGCTGAACAGGAATAGCTCTGGTCTGCAGCTCCCAGCGAGATGAATGCAGAAGGCAGGTGATTTCTGCATTTCCGACTGAGGTACCTGGCTCATCTCACTGGGACTGGCTAGACAGTGGGTGCAGCCCATGAAGGGCAAACCAAAGCAGGGTGGGGCGTTGCCTCACCCAGGAAGCACAAGGGGTTGGGGACTCCCTCCCCTAGCCAAGGAAAGCTGTGAGAGACTGTAAGGGACTGGGACTCCAGCCCAGATACTACCCTTTTCCCACGTTCTTCACAACCCACAGACTAGGACATTCCCTCGGGTGTCTACACCAGCAGGGCCATGGGTTTCAAGCACAAAACTGGGCAGCCGTTTGGGCAGACACCAAGCTAGCTGCAGGAGTTTTTGTTTGTTTGTTTTTCATACCCCAGTGGTGCCTGGAATACCAGGAAGACAGAACCGTTTGCTCCCCTGAAAAAGGGGCTGAAGCCAGGGAGCCAAGTGGTCTTGCTCAGCGGATCCCACCCCCATGGAGTCCAGCAAACTAAAATCCACTGGCTTGAAATTCTCGCTGCCAGCACAGCAGACTGAAGTTGAACTGGGACACCCCAGCTTGGTGGGGGAAGGGGCGACCGCCATTACTGAGGCTTGGGTCGGTGGTTTTCCTCTCACAATGTAAACAAAGCCACTGGGAAGTTTGAACTGGGTGGAGCCCTCTACAGCACCCCAAAGCCAGTGTAGCCAGACTGCCTCTCTAGATTCCTCCTCTCTGGGCAGGGCATCTCTGAAAGAAAGGCAGCAGCCCCAGTCAGGGACTTGTAGACAAAACTCCCATCTCCCTGGGACAAACAGTCACCTGGGGGAAGGGGTGGCTGTGGGCGCAGCTTCACTAGACTTAAAAGTTCCTGCCTGCCGGCTCTGAAGAGAGGAGCAGATCTCCCAGCACAGTGCTCAAGCTCTGCTAAGGGACAGACTGCTTCCACAAGTGGGTCCCTGGCCCCTGTGCCTCCTGACTGGAAGACACCTCCCAGCAGGGCTTGACAGACACCTCATACAGGAGAGCTCCAGCTGGCATCTGGCAGGTGCCCCTCTGGGATGAAGCTTCCCAAGGGAGGAGCAGGCAGCAATCTTTGCTGTTCTGCAGCCTCCACTAGTGATACCCAGGCAAACAGGAACTGGAGTGGACCTCCAGCAAACTCTAGCAGACCTGCAGCACAGAGGCCTATTTTGAAGGAAAACTAACAAACAGAAATAGCATCAACATCAACAAAAAGGATGTCCATTCAGAGGCCCCATTTGAAGGTCACCAACATCAAAGACCAAAGGTAGATAAATCCATGAAGATGAGGAAAAAACAGTGAAAAAAGGCTGAAAATTCCAAAAACCAGAATGCCTCTTCTCCTCCAAAGGATCACAACTCCTTGCCAACAAGGGAGCAAAACCGAATGGAGAAAGACTTTGACGAATTGACAGAAGTAGGCTTCAGAAGGTGGGTAATAACAAACTCTTCTGAGCTAAACAAGCATGTTCTAACCTAATGCAGGGAAGCTAAGAACCTTGAAAAAGGGTTAGAGGAATTGCTAACTAGAATAACCAGTTTAGAGAGGAACATAAATAACCTGATGGAGCTGAAAAACACAGCCCAAGAACTTCATGAAGCATACACAAGTATCAATAGCCAAATCAATCAAGCAGAAGAAACAATATCAGAGATTGAAGATCAACTTAATGAAATAAAGCATGAAGACAAGATTAGAGAAAAAAGAATGAAAAGGAATGAACAAAGCCTCCAAAAAATATGGGACTATGTGAAAAGACCAAACCTACATTTGATTGGTGTACCTGAAAGTGACAGGGAGAATGGAACCAAGTTGGAAAACATTCTTCAGGATATTATCCAGGAGAACTTCCCCAGCCTAGCAAGACAGGCCAACATTCAAATTCAGGAAACACAGAGAACACTACAAAGATACTCCTTGAGAAGAGCAACCCCTAAACACTAAATCTTCAGATTCACCAAGGTTGAAATGAAGGAAAAAATGTTAAGGGCGGCCAGAGAGAAAGGTTGGGTTACCCACAAAGGGAAGCCCATCAGACTAACAGTGGATTTCTCAGCAGAAACCCTACAAGCCAGAAGAGAGTGGGTGCCAATATTCAACATTCTCAAAGAAAAGAATTTTCAACCCAGAATTTCATATCCAGTCAAACTAAGCTTCACAAGTGAAGGAGAAATAACATCCTTTACAGACAAGCAAATGCGGAGAGATTTTGTCACTACCAGGCCTGCCTTACCAGAGCTCCTGAAGGAAGCACTAAATATGGAGAGGAAAAACCAGTACCAGCCACTGCAAAAACTACCAAATTATAAAGACCATTGACACTATGAGGAAACTGCATGAACTAACAGGCAAAATAACCAGCTAGCATCATAATGACAGGATCAAATTCACACATAACAATATTCACCTTAAATGTAAATGGGCTAAATACCCAATTAAAAGACACAGACTGGCAAATTGGATATAGAGTCAGGATCCATCAGTGTGCTGTATTCAGGAGACCCATCTCATGTGCAAAGACACACATGTGCTCAAAATAAAGCGATGGAGGAAAATTTACCAAGCAAATGGAAAGCAAAAAAAAAGCAGGGGTTCCAATCCTAGCCTCTGATAAAACAGACTTTAAACTAACAAAGATCAAAAAAGACAAAGAAGGGCATTACATAATGGTAAAGGGATCAACACAACAAGAAGAGCTAACTATTCTAAATATATATACACCCAATAGAGGAGCACCCAGATTCATAAAGCAAGTTCTTAGAGACCTACAAAGAGACATAGACTCTCAAGCAATAATAGGGGGAGACTTTAACAACCCACTGTCAATATTAGACAGATCAATGAGACAGAAAATTAGCAAGGATATTCAGGACTTGAACTCAGCTCCGGACCAAGTGGACCCAATTGACATCTACAGAATTCTACACCCCAGATCAACAGAATATACATTCTTCTCAGCACCACATCACACTTCTTCTAAAACTGACCACCAATTGGAAGTAAAACATTCCTCAGCAAATGCAAAAGAACAGAAATCATAACAAACAGTCTCTCAGACCACAGTGCAATCAAATTAGACCTCAGGATTAAGAAACTCACTCAAAACTATACAACTACATGGAAACTGAACAACCTGCTCCTGAATGACTACTGGGTAAATAACGAAATTAAGGCAGAAATAAATAAGTTTTTTGAAAGCAATGAGAACAAAGACATAATGTACAGAATCACTGGAAAACAGCTAAAGCAGTGTTTAGAGGGAAATTTAGAGCACTAAATCCCTACAGGAGAAAGCAAGAAAGATCTAAAATCAAAACCCTAACATCACAATTAAAAGAACTAGAGAAGCAAGAGCAAACAAATTCAAAAAGCTAGCAGAAGACCAGAAATAACTAAGATCAGAGCAGAACTGAAGGAGATAGAGACACAAAAAATCCTTCAAAAAAATCATGAATTCAGGAAGCTGGATTTTTGAAAAGATTAAGAAAATAGACCACTAGCCAGGTTAATAAAGAAGAAAAGAGAGAAGAATCAAATAGATACAATAAAAAGTGGTAAAGGGGATATCACCACTGATCCCACAGAAATACAAACTACCATGAGAGAATACTATAAACACCTCTACACAAATAAACTAGAAAATCTAGAAGAAATGGGTAAATTCCTGGACACACACACCCTCCCAAGACTAAACCAGGAAGAAGTTGAATCCCTGAATAGACCAATAACAAGTTCTGACATTGAGGCAGTAATTAATAGCCTGCCAACCAAAAAAAGCCCAGGACCAAATGGAGCTTGTACCATTCCTTCTGAAACTATTCCAAACAATGGAAAAAGAGGGACTCCTCCCTCACTCATTTTATGAGACCAGCATCATCCTGATACCAAAAGCTGGCAGAGACACAACAAAAAAAGAAAATTTCAGGCCAATATCCCTGATGAACATCGATGGGAAAATCCTCAATAAAATACTGGCAAACCAAATCCAGGAGCACAGCAAAAAGCTTATCCACCACAATCAAGTTGGCTTCATCCCTGGGATACAAGGTTGGTTCAACATATGCAAGTCAATAAATGTAATCCATCACATAAACAGAACCCATGACAAAAATCACATGATTATCTCAATACATGCAGAAAAGGCCTTTGATAAAATTCAACATCCCCTCATGCTAAAAACTCTCAATAAACTAGGTATTGATGGAATGTATCTCAAAATAATAAGAGCTATTTATGATAAACCCACAGTCAGTATCATACTGAATGGGCATGGATGAAGCTCGAAACCATAATTCCCAGCAAACTAATACAGGAACAGAAAACCAAACACCGCATGTTCTCACTCATAAGTGGGAGTTGAACTATGGGAACACATGGACACAGGGAGGGGAACATCACACACTGGGGCCGGTTGGCGGGTGGGGACTAAGGGGAGGGATAGCATTAGGAGAAATACCTAATGTAGATGATGAGTTAATGGGTGCAGCAAACCACCATGGCACATGTATACCTATGTAACAAACCTGCACGTTCTGCACATGTATCCCAGAACTTAAAGTATAATTAAAAAAGAAAAAAAGATGTTAAGTTTAAAAAAAAAAAAGTGCTATTGCAGCTATTACTGTAACCATGTAAAATATATATTCACAGCTGGAAGTTAATATGAAAATATTGTCATTGAAAAGGCATGTTTTCTTCTGTCAAAAACTGCCTTTATAGTTGTCCTCATATCTTTTCAATAAGAAAATAAAAGGAAAAGTAATTTTTGGCTTGGAGAAGGGATACATAATAAAGTGGGTGAGGCTTGCCATGGGTAGATCTGTGATGTTGGTACTTTTTGTGCCCTTCCAGTCTCCTCTCTTTGCCTCCTCTCCCTCTTTCTGGTGCCCAGTTCCCTCCCTTAACCCCTTTCCAGGGCCCACCTGAGGGCCATTTCAGAAGGGCTTTGCTCAGTAGGCTTAGCTGGCCTCTGTCAAGCCACAGCACCTTTAATCAAGCATTTGCCACCATGGAGCCTTTACTCACCACTCCCCAACTGCTTCAATAATAATGTCTAGCAATCAAACTGCAATCATTAAGTAACAATTCCATCCCATATTTATTCACCAAAGGCATGCACAATTGTTAATCAGTGCTTCTGTACAGTGTGAAGATTAAGTCCTCTAAGTTGATAGAACCCAAATGAAGGTATATGTGTAGCTATGCAGCCTTGCTTGCAGTCATATATAATGCACATATGAGCTGCGGAGATCTTGGAGGGCCTCAATTTGGGGAGGAATGTCTTCAGGTATCACCAAGATAAAAACATATGCATTTTCATTAACTGAAAACTCTTCTAAATCCAAAGAACGAATGTCACTGGTAGGACTTCAGAGAGCTGGCTGCCAGGGAGACTATCTGGGAGCAGTGGAGACATTTAGAGATCTCCTGGGCAGGAAGCCAGTCCTGGGAGGGAGGAAGCAGGCTCCCCCAGGATGCACATGCTGGGTCTGAGGTAGCCACATACTGAAATTGCCTTTGTAAAAATTACATCAGTGAGAAAATTATGGCAGTGGGGGAGATCCAACATAGCCCAAGCTCCTCTTGCTTTTAGCTTTCAAGCTGCCTTCATTCCAGGGTTAGCTTTGGGAGACATTTTATTTATAGTTTAAATGATAACAGGCCTTCCCCTAAAACTCAGCCACCTTTATAAAGCTAATGAGAGACCATCAGGTTAGTGGGAGGAGCCTGAATTCTGCTAAGGTGAATTCTGCATATCATAAGATATGCAATTTCCCCAATAATTCTTGCAAATAACATCACTATTGTAGAACCTAAGATTGGCCTTTTGTGACATCTTTTTAGGTTTTTTCATGTCTGACACCTGTGGCTCCATCTGGACCCACCAACCAATGGCTTCTGTGGCTCCACCCAGAAGCAACTCAGTGCAAGAGGACAGCTTCAACTCCCTATGATTTCATCTCTGATCCAACCAATCAGCAGCAAGTGCCCATTGAATAGCCACCCCACTCCCTCCCCAAACTACCTTTGAGCAACCCCTAATCTAGAGGCCTTCAAGGAGATTGATTTAAATAACAACTCCATCTCCCACGTGGCATGGCCAGCCTCATATCAATTAGACTCTTTCTTTACTGCAATGCCATGGTCTTCATTTGTGCAGCAAACAGGGAGAACCTGTCGGGCAGTTGCAATACTCACATAAGGTTGACTTGAGGCAGGTGTGAGGCTGGTATGGCTGAGACCACCAGAATTCCCGTTGCTTCCTATGGGGGTTGGGAACCGTGAGACAAAAAACAAACAAAAAACAAAAAGCCAACCCCAGTTAACCGAGGTGAAACAGACCCAGAACAATGACAAACAGAATGTTTCTTAGAATTCTGCTGCCTTCACCCAAGTGAAAAGGGTGATCACTTCTCCAAATGCATTGTCAAATAAATTTTCCAAACATATAGGCTCTCTCATCTCTTTTTCTGCCTCACAGGATCTTTTCAGAACAACAAATACTTAGAGTGACAATCTCGCCCATGATCACAAGTTTGCACATGGAGTTTCGGTAAATGACCGGTGTTAAGCTGCCTCTCAGGCATGTTAGCCTGTCTCTGCAGTCTCCTTCGAATTCTCATGACATGTTCAGGTTTCCCTCCCAGGCTGTTACAGGCTCTCTACAGTTTCTTTAGATGACTCTGCTCCTTTCTTGATCTCTAGAATCGCCCCTGGGCTCGAGGGCAAGGCTTCACCTTTTCTTGGCACCTGAAACCTCTGTTGACTTGTTCCTCCTCCCTTGAGTCCCCCAGCAATTCCTTTGGGCAGGTTTTCCTTGCCTTGCCTACTTCAAAGCAACTTTCTAAGCAAAGTTGTTCCTTCTTTCTTCAACACTGTGAAGTTTGGAGCAAGAGAAGACTTTGAAGACACTCTGTTCTTTGTATTCCCGGAACTGCAGCATCACCTTTCCCTGGGAGCTTGTGAGACCTGCAGAATCTCAGGCCCCACCCCAAGCCTTCCAAATTAGAATCTCCATTTTAATAAGAGCCCAGGTAAGTCATATGCATGCTAAAGGCAAGAAGCTCTAATTTAATCTCTCAAACTTTGGAATACATCTGAGGTGTTTGTTAAAATGTAGATAATCTGGGCCTCCCAGATCTCCTGCCTCCGATTCTCTGAAGATAAGGCCAGGGCATCTGCGTGTTTAAATCAAACTCTCCATGTGATTCTAATTCACAAGAGAGTTTAAGAAGGGCCAATTTAGCCACTGTCTTCACTTTAGAAATGAGGAAACTGATCCAGGGAAGTCAAGCAATGTGGTGGAGGTTGAACAATTAGCAGCAGGAGGCATCTATCCTATAATCTACAAAGTGATGGACTGGGATTCAACAGACCTGGGTTCCAGGCGTGCTTCCCCTCCACAGGATCTTGGACAAATCTCCCAACATCTGAAACTTAGTTCCCCACTTATGAAACGGGGCTCAGTGCATTTGAGGCATTGTGAGGACTAAATGATACATGAAATCTTACTGTAAACTCAATTAGCATGGACATGCAGGGCATTCATTAATTCATTCATTAATTATTTGAAGAGATAACACATACACACAGTAAAAATCTTAACAGTATAAAAAAGTAGGCCGGGCGTGGTGGCTCATGCCTGTAATCCCAGCACTTTGGGAGGCCGAGGTCGGCAGATCACCTGAGGTCAGGAGTTCGAGACCAGCCTGACCAACATGGTGAAACTCCGTCTCTACTAAAAATACAAAAATTAGCCAGGCGTGGTGGTGCGCACCTGTAGTCTCAGCTACTCTGGAGGCTGAGGCAGGGAAATCGCCTGAACCCAAGAGGCCGAGGCTGCAGTGAGCTGAGATCACGGCATTGCAGTTCAGCCTGGTGACAGAGCAAGACTCCATTTCAAAAAAAAAAAAAAAAAAGTAAGGCTTCTTCCCTTCCTTCTGCTCAGTTTCTTGTGCATTCTTCCAGAAATATTCTCTGCATAATTGAGGTACTTTAATTCACAGCACATGCAGGCCAGAGCCAAGATTCTTGATTCCGAGTTAGGTGATGAACTCTTTAATATTGTGTTTCCTGTTTTTTAACCTTCTGTACCTTTCCTTGGCTACTTCATGGTTAATTACCGGATAGTCTGATCTCTCTCTATCTCTGTCTCTGTGTCTCTCATTCTCTGTCAGCTTCCTCTCTAGGCTTTACCCTTGCCTTTCTCCTCTGGGAGTTCCCGGTTTTTTATTCTTACAAAATGATATCCTAACATCTTCACATGTTCCCTCTGGTGGAAACTCCAGCAGAATGGGGCCTCTCACCGGAAAGTCATGTCCACTTGCCAAAAATATTTGCTACTCTGGTACAAAGCATCAACTCTAACTCCCCCAATTTGCAATATAGTCGTTCCAAACTCCTTTAGATGGGTATTATTTTCCACCAATATGCCCTTTTTGGAGAAGCCTTCCTCCTCACTCTTTTACTGTTTTCTAAAATCAGATGTAAATTTTCTACCTGTTGAAAGTAAAAACAAACAAACAAGCAAAACAAAAACAACCCCCCCAGCTACTTGCATTCAAATCTGTCACTCTTATAAAGAGCATAAAAAATATTTTATGCGCTCATTCATTATTCTTAAGCACAATGCTGCTCTTCATACCACTTACCCTGAGCACCTGGGGTGCTTGGTGAAGATGCAGATTCCTGGCTCAGTCCATATCTATTGAATCAGGGAAGGGAGGGCAGAGCCAGGGAATCTGTATTTTACAAAATACCCAGCTCATTTTTACTCACAGCAAAGTTGGAGAAATGGGAAGGGAGAAAAATTGTTTGTAGATATCAAAGACCCCATTTATTGAGGCTCAGAGATACTGACTTCTCAAAAGCCACATCAGCCTGTGCTTCTGACAGGCCTCCTGTGCAGACGCGGCAGTGGATTTAATCTCAACACCCTCCTCCGGTCCTCCAATGTGCCTCCTGGTTTTCTGAATGAGATTCAGGAGAACCCGAGGTGCCTTCCATCATTCTGTCCCCAACAAGACATTTGTGTAGACTCTCCTATTGACATATTGCTTCTAAATGAAATTGTTTAATTTCTTATTTTAATATTAGGTTTTCATGTGGCAATGACTAAAAGCAGCATAAGAACTTCCTATCATCCTTTATTTGTGTGTGCTCCCCCAGTAAACCCATAATTGGGTTTTGTGTGCTCCTTGCAAGACCCCTGCTGGTCCCCCCTCACCACTTTCTGACCTGAAACCATGAGGACTAATCTCATTAGGCCTTTATCCCTGTTCATGTCCTTCAGCCCCCAAGCTCAGGTCACCCCTTATCCCCTGTGCTTTAATCCCTATAAGACCCCTGCCAGCCACCCACGCCCTCTGGAACTCACAGCAAATCTTCAGCAAACTCTCTTAGATCTCAGCCTCTTCCTTGAGCCCTTTCTTCTTACTCTAACTGCAGCCTAGCTCTCCCTGCAGTCTGCTTCCCCTGCAGCCTTCAAGAGGGGGATGTTTCCTCTCCCACTCCCAGTGCAGTGCTGGTGAAATAGCTCTGGGGGATGGGAGCCCTGACTCGGAGCCTCTGCTGATTTCTGCAGTGTTGATGCTGTCACGGTGGCTGATTTCAAGCTACCACCCCGTCTTCACCAAATGTGGGTGTGTGAGGAGGTGGCTCAGATGGCTCCAGCACATCCCTGTGTATAGCCTTCCTTCCACTGGGCCTGGAGGTGGGGGTGTGTCCTTGCTTCTCACTGCCATTTCCAGATTATTATTCCTTTTCCTAGGAGCCCCCAGCTTTGAATATCATCCCACTACTTTTCTGGTAGCCATCACCAGCTCACTCCTGCTCGCTCTTAGGTCTCAACACTGTTCTGTCACAGTTCTCAACGATTTTATCACACATACAAATGTCCCTTTCAGCACGCTGGCCTAGTGGGTGCTTGATCTCCTCTTTTCCAATAACCTTTCACTCATTCAACCTCAGCCACCTCCTCCCATTGTTATACCCAAGACCTCATCAGTACCGACAACAACAATCTCTCCTTAATTTTAACTTCCAGTATCCCTTTCTCCTTCTAACACCTCCCATCTTCCCAGCCCCAATACACTGTTGACCTCATAAAGACCTGCAATCCATTGATCTTACTTCCTTCTTACCAATCCTCACGTGTTTCATTTCCTCATCTCCCTCCTAAGCAGCTTACATGTCACACTCCATCCTTATCATCTGTCTCTTGGCCCCCTCTTGATTTGCTGCTAAATCCAACCCTCCGTCTAATCTGGACCCGCACCCCAGAAGCACTTCAGATGTGTGACCTTTAACTTAAGAGGGCCCTGAATGCTGATCACACTGTGTTTACCTAATCTGTTTGTCTCCAACTCGCATGGAAACTTTTCAAGCTTTCTATTCTCTCCTTCCCAATGCCTCCTTCCCCACCCTGCTCTCTGCTTATGGTTCCTCATTTCACTGAGAAAATAACAGTTAGGAGAGAACTTCCACAAGCGCCTGCCATATGCTGCATGCTCAGCTGTGCCCCATACTCTGCCTTCCCTTGTGGTACCATTTCTAAGGATGAGTTGTTTATGATTCCAGGGCAGGCCAAGCCCTCTTCTTGATACTAAAGCATATCTCCTTCTGCCCGCTCAAAGGCATCAACAACAGCAATTCTCTTCTCCTTCTCCCATATCATCAAAATGTTCCCCTGGTGGATGACTCCCATTACTTACAGCATCTAAACATTTTGCTCACACCACTCCACTCTCCCCTCTGGCTATTTCTCCGTTGTTCTGCTCTGCTTTATCCCAAAATGTCTCAAAGAGTTTCCCATGCTCATCCATTTCTTCAAATCCCACTCTAATGAGGATTTTGGCCCCACTTCTCCACTGAAATTGCTCTTATTAAGATCACTAATGACTGTCATACTGCTAAATCCAATGGTCAATTCTCAGCCTTCTTAGCAGAAGGTGCTATAGCTGATGAGGACCCCATACAGTCTTGATTTTCATTCTGCCTCACTGGTCATTCCTTCCCAATATCCTTTACTAGTTCCATTTTTCCTTCCTGATCTCTTAACAGTGGCTGAGCCTGGGACTGCTGCTTCTTTCTATTTGTACGCCCTCCCTTGGTAGCTCATCAAACCTCAGTAACATAAGGTGAGGGTGGTAGGTTGAAATTTAGTAACTGAGGTCTCAACTGAGCCTTGAAAGATGAATCCTTTTTTGTCTTAGTCTGTGCTGTTTTCTATAACAAAGTACAGTAAACTGGGTCACTTATAAACAACAGAAATGTATTTGCTCATAGTTCTGGAAGCGGGGACATCCAAGATCGAGGAGCTAGTGGATGCAGTGTCTGGGGAGGGCCCACTCTGTGACTCATAAATGGCGGCTTTTAGCTGTGTCCTCCCAAGGTGGAAGGGGCAAATAAGCTCCCTCACGCCTCTTTTATAAGGGTACTAATCCCATTCATGAGGGCAGAGTGCTCATGACCTAACCACCTGCTGAAGGCCCCGCCTCTTAATACTATTGCACTGGGGATTAGGTCTCAACATATGAATTTTGGAGGGGACACAAACATTCAGGCCATAGCACTTTTTAAGTTTAATTTAGTTTCCCAAGACTTTTCCCTGTTTTCTAGCTGATATGATTATTCTCATCTCCTTCGTATTTAAGATGCTTAGTATTTATCAATAAGTTGACATTTGGATATATAAACCAGTGTGTGTGTGTGCTCATTCATCTGCTTGTCCCTCTTTATCTCATCTTAACTGTGGTAACAGAAGCCCAAGAAAAACATTTTGTTTCCTTATAGTTCAGCCCTGAGTACAGGAGTGCTGACGTTCCTTACCTCTTCAGAAGGTGGTTAGAAGGGACAAGCCCAGCGCAGGTAGCAGGGTCTGAGATTTTTCGGGCCTGCCACCAGAGGGCATCATTCTGGTCCACAATCTGGAGGATGTCCCCCTTCTGGAAAGGCAATCCAGCGTCCATGCAGGGGATGTCAGGATCCTCCTGGGGCCAGTACTCAGTCATGGCACGAACATACACCTGATGGCAGGTGCATAATGATGCTATCAGAATGTGCCTAATGGTGCCATCTGAAGAACCCTTGCCCATGGGCCATCATGACTTAAAACCATTTCTCCCACTCCTCGACCTGCTACTCCTATCTTTCCTCTCCACCCTCACCAAAAAAGAGAACTTGCCTCTTGAGCCTAAGTACCATGATAAAAAGCATCTTTGGGAACAGAATCTCTTAGCTTAGAGAAGTTCAAGCTCAAATGTTCACAAGTTTTGATGTTGCTTCTTGACTTCTTAGTATCCCATCTCCTTATACTGTACTCATTTACTCATTTTGCTTCTTGGGCCATCAGTATTGAAAAATACCCAACACAGTCTTGAGCCCAGGTCCAACACAGTACAAAGGATAGGATTATTATGCATCATATTTAGTTGCTGTTACTTGGGGATTTACTGTGTGTGAGATTGAAGACTCAGTAAATTCTTACCATTTTCTGGCTATTCACAGGAGGGTCAGAGACTGGAACCACCTTGAACATGATTGTGCCTCGAGACATGGCCTGGAAAATGAGAGAGGAGAAAGGATGGCAATCGTGGAGCTAGCAGGGTTACTGGGGCTCAGTAGACAGAGTTACAGTGCAATGTATTCAGGTCTCATGGTGACATCCCCCAAGAGCCTTTCTCAAGGGCTCTGCAGCTGTCACCATCCAGAAATGGAAATTAGGAAGCAAATTACCCCTACATCTGCCCTGCTGTGGGGTTCTGGGGTCACTGGTCTGTTAAAAGCCACACTGAGGTGGCCTCTTCCAGGGACCCTCCCACCCCACACTGAAACAGAAACACCCCACCTATCAAGGTCTTCCTCACACAGGCCCTAGGGAGAGACAGGATCTCCATCTGAATTTCCCTCCTTATGTCCTTACTCAGTAAACATTTCCTGAATGCCTGTTTCTACACCAGATACCCCAGTCTGATGGGGAAGAAGAGGGGCTCCTAAGTTTTCTGGGAGAACTGACAACTTTCCAAACTCATGGTGGAAATAGGGAGCTCTCAGACTGGGGTAAGGAAGAATTCCTGTTACATGCACTGCGACGGGCATTAAACATATAGAGATTAAGACCCTGTTTGTACTCAGGAATTTCATAATCCCACTGTCCTGGGCAACATCACAGCTGGCACCAGGGGGTAGAAGCCATGCATATCTGTGATTTCTAGTACTTCAAGCTTCCTTTGCAGCACCTTCTACACCACACAGAATCTTGCAGCAGTGTCTTACAAAGGATTTACGTGCTTGTCTCATAGCACCACTCCTCACCTCACTCTCTAAGGACTGCTATGAAATCCTGGCAGGAACCCAGTTTGAGAACCACTGATCTATCCAGTATATTGTATAGTAATCAACCTAGTCCCCACACCTGGGCTGTGCATGGGGGGAGGTGGGAGGGGCATGCTGCTATGACTATTAACAGCTGAACTGCGATTCAGGGAATGGTTTGAAGGGCAGGAATAGGAACCTGAGGGAGAGCAAATGCTCATGAATCAGGTTATCAATCCTTAGCTCCAACCACAAGAACAGTGGCGGGTCACCAAGGATGTCCCCTCCCTGTATGCTGCTGTCTGGTGACTCCTTTATTCTCCCAAAGCTGCCCTCCAGGAAGATGTTAAACATTTCAGCTGTAGAAAAGTGTTAGTGGGGGAAGGAGTGGTTTGCTCAGGTTCAGACTCTCCTACAAAGTCTCACTCTGTCCACCCCAGGCTCAGTTTCCAATGGAGCAAACCAGGTGATGAGGGAGCTGGGCTGGGGGCCCTGGCAGTCTTCCCGTGGCTGAAGAAGGAAGGAGCAACTTGGGAAGGGGAGTTTTCCAGCCAGGACCAGAACTTCTCAGGGTAGAGGAGGGAGGCCAGTAAGTGACATGGGTGACAGACAAGGTCTGGGAGCCTGGAGGGAGAAAGCTGCCAAGAGAACTCAAGTCCCCGGTACATCCCAGTGCACACACACAGGCTTGATGGGCCCAGTTCAGCCTTGGCATTTATACAAATCATTAACAAAAAAGCAAAAAGATTTACCAGAATATGGATCACTTGTTCAGGGTCCAGTCCCTCAACTGAAACTCCATTCACTTCTACCAGTTTGTCTCCAGCATAGAGCAACCCTAGGCAGACAGTAACACAAAACAAAGAAAGATACAAAGAAGTAGGATAAAAATAGCAGTAGCTACCTCAATAGTTATTTAACAAACTCACTAATCCAAGCATGCTCTAAAAGTGTTTAATATGAAATAATAATAGAAAAGAAAACTGGTTATTCCAGCTTACGTCGCCCCCAGAAATGTGTGAGCAGTCCATTTTTCTACCTTGTCACAAATACTTGGCATTGACTGATGGTAATACTTTTATTTTTGCTAGTCTGATGTTGTAAAATGGAACCAGAACACTGGTAAGAAAATAGCACTAAAAACAAAGATGTCAGGGTCGTAAGTCAATGACAAAAAGAAAATGGGGTAGGTATTCTTCAAAAGGGAAAATGTGGAGAAACTTGGGGTTTAAGTTAAGATCTGAGAAATGTGAGGTAAAACAGTGGAGTTGTCAGACAGTTGAGAGAAGAAGCAGAATGATGTCACAGAACAGAAACCAAGGATGATAAAAAAAATTCAAGAAAGGTGTCAACAGCATCAGATGTGGTCAAGAACTGGAAATAAAACTGAGGAGGGGCCAGGTGTGGTGGCTCATGCCTATAATCCTAGCACTTTGGGAGGTCGAGGTGGTTGGACCACTTGAGGCCAGAGGTTTGAGACCAGCCTTGCCAACATGACGACTCCCTGTCTCTACTAAAAATACAACAAAAATTAGCTGGGGTGGTGGTACACGCCTGTAATCCCAGCTACTTTGGAGGCTGAGGCAGGAGAATTGCTTGAACCTGGGAGGCAGAGGTTGCAATGAGCTGTGATTGCCCCACTACACTCCAGCCTAGGTGATAGAGTGAGACTGTCTCTCTCTCTCTCTCTCTCTCTCTCTCACACACACACACACACACACACACACAAAAAAAACTGAGGAGGAAGGAAGGGCCAATGGACTTAGCAACTAGGAAATCCTTGGTATTTACAGTGAGAATGTTGAAGTATAAAGCATGTGCCAGGTTTTAGGGCTTCGGGGTAGCAAGGATGTATAGAATCACTCATTTAAGAAACACAACAGTAGCCAGGTGTGGTGGCTCATGCCTGTAATCCCAATGCTTTCTCTGGGAGGCCAAGGCAGGAGGATTGTTTGAGCCCAGGAGGTTGACACCAGCCTGGGCAACCTAGTGAGACCCTATCTCAACAAAAAATAGAAAAATTGGCTGGGCATGGTAGTGTGCACCAGTGGTCCCAGTTACTGGGGGGCTGAGGTGGAAGGATTGCTCAAGCCCAGGAGGGTGAGGCTGCAGTGAGTCATGATCACACCACTGCACTCCAACCTGAGTGAGAGTGAGACTGTGTCTAAAAAAAAAAAAAAGAAAGAAAAAAAGTTTAAAGAAGGACAGCAGTGAAAGGATGACAACCTGGTTAACTGGTAGAACGTGTGAGCAAAAGGCATTTCAAGATGGGAAAGAGCTATGCCTTTCTGAAAGTAGAAGGACAGAGTGCAAAGGAAAAGGTGGGAATATAGAGCCAGGCAGATCTGTATTTGAATCCTGACTCAAACGGTGTAATTTTGAGCAAGTTAGTTTCGTAATCTCTTTGAGCCTCAGTTTCCTCATCTATACAATGGCATGATAATACTTACCTTTGAGGTTGCCATGAGAATGGCTTTAATGTGGTACCTAGAATGCGAAGGACTCAGTGAAGGAGCAGAGTAAGATTCTTTGGAATATTTGTTTCTTCTTTCTTTACTGCTTCTATCCAAGCAACGGAACTCACTAAAGCCCTGAACCAAGTTAAGAAAGAGGGATTTCTCTGGAAAGAAGCCTAAACAGTCAAGGGTTTCCCGTTTTTCTGGTAGCACTCGATCCCGGCTGCTCCAGCTTACCACTCCTCTCCGCCAGCCCGCCGTGGATGACCCTGGCCACCAAGATGTCTCCTGTTATCTCGTGGCGCTTGATGGTGGCTCCCTGAAGAGAGAATAGACACGATCCCTCTGTTACCTAACATGACCATTTTTCAGGTGGCTTCCCTCAATCAGTGCAGCTCTGGTCTTTCAAACGAGGTTATTCATGCCAACCAGGACAGAGGGGCTACACAGTGCCCTGTGGCCTGGCAGTCATAGCATGCCATCACAAAGGAAAGGCCATTCAACTTTGGCTTCCAGCAGTCTCATTCCAACCACATAAACATAAAAGAATATTTAGATTATTCCAAAGATACAGAAACCTCCCACGATTAAAACCTAATTAGAGGGACTGTTCTTAGAAAATCAAATGAATGCCTTCCTTAGATTCTCATTATTATAGGAGGAGACAGGCAAATGCATTGGAATTGAGTAAAATACACGCATAGATCAGAAAGCCAAATTTTTTTCCTTTTGAGACAGAGTCTTGCTCTGTTGCCCAGGCTGGAGCGGAGTGGCACGATCTTGGCTCACTGCAAGCTCTGCCTCCCAGGTTCATGCCATTCTCCTGCCTCAGCCTCCCGAGTAGCTGGGACTACAGGCGCCCGCCACCACGCCCGGCTAATTTTTTGTATTTTTAGTAGAGACGGGGTTTTGCCGTGTTAGCCAGGATGGTCTCGATCTTCTGACCTCGTGATCCGCCCACCTCGGCCTCCCAAAGTGCTGGGATTACAGGCGTGAGCCACCATGCCCAGCCTGAATATTAAAATAAAATATGTACGTCTTATTTCTCACAAAAATGTCTTATAAATCTCATCTTACTTTTCACAAAAGAAAAACACTAAGCGGAAATCTTTCCTTAGAGAAAACACCATGACATGTAATATGTTTGAAACCACAGGCAAAACCTGTAGAGTTGACAGCTGTTATTATCACTGTATATGTGATCGCAGGGAAGACTACTGCCCAAGTAACCACTAGATATAATTTGGTTCACAATTAACCTAAGCATATCCTAAATGGAAATATAAAAAATGATTTCCTTACCAGGGGCTGTTGGTTTTTCACCAAACAAACAATCCTCATTGCTTCCTCACTCTCAGGGATATTGTCTGGCAGCGGAGGGAGAAGGGGTTCAAAATCTTTCTGAGCTATCGTGTCATGGGCACTGAGCAAGGCCTGGGCACAGGGAAGGAAAAGGTGAGCAAATGTCACACATGGGCCAAGCCCCTCTAGAAGATAGTGACTCAATACTAAGACACAACAACAACAACAAACATCAATACAGACATGCCAGACACAGTGCGAAGCATTTTATATGAATTAATCCAATCCTCACAATAATTCTATGAGGCAGGTACATTAATTGTCCTCAATTTGCAGATAAGGAAATAAGGCACAGAGAGGTTAAGCAATGCACAATACACTCTTTCATTTCTGCTAAAATGTATTATGCCATGACATTCTTATTTCCTGGCAGCCCATGTAATCTGTGATGCCCCTGTGTAGTTTGAACTACAAAACAACTTTTATAATATTTTCCCTAATTAAGGTAGAATGAAGGGCAGTAATCAAAATATCTTGCTGGTTTAATTTGTTAGTAACACTCAAGCGCTAGTGGTACAGAATGAAAAGTTCATATGATCAAACTCTTTGATCATAAGCTATGATCAAAGAGTTTCTTTGACTAGCCCATTAGGTTAAATTCTTCATTTCACGGGGTGGGGAAGCTGTCACTTTGCTGCCCTGAGATTGGTAGACAGAATTTAGTTGGAACTCAGAGAATTCTCTAAGTAGTGTGTGCCATTGAGGATATTTGATGACTGGTGGTTGTGTTGTGAACTATAATTTTTGACTGATAAATTTCAGCACTCCAAATGCAGACATTCTCTTAAAGTTCTAATTTATTGATAAATTGGTCTCAAATCTCTAAGTACTAAGAGATAGGTTTTTGTTTTGCAATCAAATGTTCTTCATAAACCCTCTCACAGGGATAATCATCATTATACTGTATATTCTAAATACCTTCACACACATTATCTAAAACTTAAAATAGTCCCACTTTGGAAAGGAAGCATGAAGGTATTTCTCTAAAACTAGAATGTTCCCTGTTTGCTACCCAAGATTTTTAGATGGGCAATAGCTTTGTAGGGGAAACAAAACATCATGGAAAGTTCTGGATGCCTCCTCATAAACACAGCAGGCTTGGCTGCATGATTGACAACACTGAGCTAGTCACATCTGAGTCCCACATATTTAAGTACAATCTGTTGGTCAGTCCCCATGTACAGTAATAGAACATTATTCAGAGAGAACATTTTCCATCACATATATTTCTCCTTCCCAACTTTGTCTATGTGCCAGATGGGGACGTCTTTTCTATTTTAGCAGGCACTTGCCTTAAAGTGTGGAGCCTGGAGCATTTGTCTCAGCTCTTGGATCTCAGGGGAAGTAGGGGTTTCACGTAATAACTCCACTACCTGGTTCATGGAAAAACATACATTATGAAATTTTTAAAAAAATCTTTATCACCTACGTAACCTCACCCTGGCTGGATAACATATATACTGACTAACGTGATATTGACCTTTAAAAAGTTATTATTGGAGCCTTCTTTTTCATCTTTAAAGCCATCCATTAAAGCCTACCATCCTTCTTTATTCATTAAAATTGCTACTTTAATATAACAAATAGAATTCAAGATTTGAGATGGATCTAAACCCAATGCCCCAGTCCTGGCACATAGGCATGGAGGATGTAACAATTTGGTAATAGCATATGAACCAAGGCATTTTTCCTCTAGTGCCTCTAAAATATAATAGCTGTTTGCTGATGTCAATGCTTTGCAGGCTTATGAAGCTGTGTGAGTTTCTCTAGGAACGTACCTGGGGAACTCAAAGAGCTTAATCCCATGGGATGCTCCATTCTTCAAATAGAAAATGGGAATCATAATTTCTCTTTTAGAGTATCAGTTGATTAGCAATTTTAATGCTTGTTACAATAAAAAGTGCTAAGCAGAAAAAAATTCTGATCTCTCTGCTGTGGTTTAGGCATAGACCTGCTTTCAGAGGACATAAGACCTTTCGAGACTTTAGTCAGCCCCATTACCTACAGTCAAATGAAAACAAGCAGTTTACAAAGGTTTACCTCCATTCACTGGGATTTCAACTGAATAAAATATTATATACGTGTTTTCCTGTGGACAACTGAGAACAATTTGAGTTGTTGATTACTGGAATTGAGAGTAGAAGTTTTTTCTTTCTTTTTTGCTGTTTCTTTTAATATGGTTTGGGCAATAAATAATAAAATCGATTATATCTATTCATTCACTTGGCAAACATTTACTAACACTACTATGTGCTGGGTGCTATTTTAGGTGTTGTGAAAACAGCAGCGGCTGACAAAAATCTCCATCTCACGGAGTTTCCACTCTAGGGAGGAGACACAGATAACAAATGAAAATGTAAGTAAAATAGTTTTGTTTGATGGTGACAAGTGTTAAGAAGAAAAATAAACCAGGGAAGGTGGCTAGGGAGTGCTAGGAGGGGATGCAGTTTTAGACAGGTGACCAGGAAAAGCTTCACTGAGAAGGTGGCATTTGAGTGGAGACTGGAAGGAGATGAGGGACAAATCAGGTGGATACCTGGGCAAGAGCTTTGCTGACATAGGGAATGGCGAGTGCAAAGGGCCCCAGGCAGAAGCATGTCTGATGATTTGTTTTTTTTTTTTTTTTGAGACACAGTCTCACTCTGTCACCCAGGCTGGAGTGCAGTGGTGTGATCTCAGCTCACTGCAATACCTCCACCCTCCCTGGTTCAACCATTCTCCATGCCTCCCAAGTAAGCTTGGGGATTACAGGCATGCACAAAAACAACACGTCAGTTAAATTTTGTTTGTTTTGTTGATATTTTAGGAGAGATGGGGTTTTGCTATGTTGGGCCAGGCCTGGTCCTGAACTCCTGCGCTCAAAGTGATCTGCCTGCCCAGGCTCCCAAAGTGCTGGGATGTATAGGGCATGAGCCTTAACCTGCACCCTACCCGAATGGAATTTAAACAAACAACAAGGAGTCAGGCTGGCTGGAGAAGATGGAATGGGGAACAGCATTAAATCGTGACAGTCAAAGAGGGGTAACAGCAGCTTTGATAGGTTGGCTATGTAAAACTTTGGTGTTAGGCCTAGGGCATGGTGGCTCAACCTGGAATCTCCAGCATTTGGGAGGCCAAGCCGTGTGGATCCTGTCAGGGTCAGGAGTTTGAGACCATCCTGGCCACACACATGAACCCTGCTGTTTACCGAAAGTAGCAAGGCATAGTGGGTTTCTGTAGTCCTAGCCTCGGCAGCTGAGGTAGGAAATCGCTATGAACGCCCAGGAGACGGCAGGGTTGCCCAGCGGGACTGAGATCCTCTGCCCACTGCCGCACTCCAGCCTACAGCGCGACCAGAGCAAAGACCTTGGTAAAAAAAATATTTTGTGTTTACTCTTGAATGGGAAGTCATTTGAAGGGTTTGGGTGTTAAGTTGAGGAAGTGACGTGATTTTTGAGCTTAGCTTTCAACAGAGATATAGATTTGGTTGCCTGCAATTGAAGAGTAGAACTCATAGAGGAGCAAGAGGTGTTAAAAACCGCGAAGACCTAGGCAGGAGTGGCGATCTTGCAATTATCATATGTAAGAGATGATGATAGAAGGTATGGGTGTGAGATCCTGAGATATATTTTGGTGAGATCCTGGACATATTATTGCGAAAGTAGAGCTGAGGAGTTTTGCTATCCTGATGGGTGTGAGGTATCAGAGGAAAGAAGCAGATCAAACTGACCCCCTAAGATTCTGGCCTGAGCACTCGCAAGAGACACACGGTCATTTCTGAGATAGAAAGGCTCCCAGAAGACGTGGTGGGGGTGAATTGGACGGTGAGAAGATCGGCAGAGCTCAGTTTGGAACCAATGTAACCCCCGAGGAGAGTCCATTAGACCATCAAGAGTAATGGAGAAGGAGAGGCGTCAATTGATATTTGAGACTGGAATTTGGGGGAAATCTCCAGGCTAGAGATGTAAATCCGAGAATTATTACTTAACATTCCCTGTTTCTGTAGGGTAAATAGAGTACAAGATTTAGGAAACAAGAAAGAAATGGACACTGCTAAAAGTGTGATGGTAGGTGTGGTGTGGCGAAGTGTTTAATTTGCGGGAGACATCCAGCCAGTTCTTCCTTATATTAAGTTCAATTAAAAACATTTATTAGGTCAGGCGTGGTGGCTCACATCTGTATCTCAGCACTTTGGGAGGCAAGGCGGGTGGATCACGAGTCAGGAGTTCGAGACTAGCCTGGCCAAGAATGGTGAACCCCGTCATCTACTAAAAATAACAAAAATTAGCCAGAGTGCAGTGGTGGGCACCTGTAATCCCAGTTACTGGGGAGGCTGAGGCAGGAGAATAGCTTGAACCCGGAGGCGCGGAGGTTGCAGTGGAGCCAAGATGCTGCACTCTAGCCCTGGGTGACAGAGCAAGACTCCTCTCAAAAAAATCCATTAGATTCATTGCTATTTAGGAAATTAAATTAATTTATTATTTATTTATTTTATTAAAAAATATTAAATTATTTTATAGTCATCAATAAAACTTTTCCTTAGAACCTTTAATTTATTTGAACTAGCAATGCGGGTAAAATGGCACCACATCAGGGCTCTACTCTTCTGTGGAATAAAACCTCCTTACCTCATAGGATAACGCCTGTGCATGGGGTGTGGCAGGAACTAGTTTCTTTTCTTTAAACTCCTGGAGGCAGTCATAAATCTGCAGGACAAGGGAGGGGGAATTGATACTGATAATACGACTGTTGCCATTTTGGATTGAAGACTCTGAAAGGGAAGAAACACCCCAGGCAACTGCACCAACAGCGACTATAGGGGAGCAAGAGTGGACACCGGAGACCAGGCAGGAGGCGATTTTGCAATTATCTATGTAAGAGATGATGATGATGGTATGGAGTGGTGAGATCCTGGATATATTTTGGTGAGATCCTGGATATATTTTGAAAGTAGAGCTGAGAGTATTTGCTATCTGATTGGGTGTGAGGTATCAGAGAAAGAGAGTCAAAATGACCCCTAAGATTCTGGCCTGAGCACTGCAAGAACACAGGTGTCATTTCTGAGATAGAAAAGGCTCCCAGAAGAGTGGGTGGGGGTGATTGGCAGGTGAGGAAGATCGGGAGCTCAGTTTGGAACATGTAAACTTGGAGGAGTCCATTAGACATCCAAGTAAGATGGAGAGGAGGCAATTGGATAACAACAACAAGGAGTCAAGGTGGCTGGAGAAGAGTGAATGGGGAAAGCATTAAATGTGAAGTCAAAGAGGTAACAGCAGCTTGATAGTGTTTGGCTATGTAAGAACTTTGGTGTTTAGGCTAGGCATGGTGGCTCACACCTGTAATCTCAGCACTTTGGGAGGCCAAGCCGTGTGGATGGCTTAGGGTCAGGAGTTTGAGACCATCCTGGCCAACACAGTGAAACCCTGTGGTATTTCTCTAAAACTAGAATGTTCCCTGTTTGCGATCCCAGCTGCTCCAGCTTACCACTCCTCTCCGCCAGCCCGCCGTGGATGACCCTGGCCACCAAGATGTCTCCTGTTATCTCGTGGCGCTTGA